CGCGTTCACTGCCCGCACCATCCCTCGCACTACCAACTGCGACTGGAACACTGTACCAGTCATCGCCACTGCCGATAGAGTCCTATCAGTAACATTTAGCTTCGCCTCCATCGTGCGCAATATGATGAGCAAGTAATAGGACAGCAAGATCCAAAAACGCAGAATCCATGTTTATACTCAACGCACTCTTCCAACTCTTGCTCTGTTTCTCTCCCTCTCATCTGCCCTGGGGTCATTCGGCACCTCTACCTCATACTCCTCTTCTTCGACCTTGTGGAACTTCTCAACTTCGGCGCGCTCGCCGTGCGCACGGGCGGCGTCCAACATGAACCTGACCGTGCCATTCTGACCACGAATGCCGATTGCGGACTTGGGTGCTTGGTCTGCGCCAGGCGAGAGTGCGACGGGGGTGGCTGGGGTAAGTGGACTGGTAGGGTCGATGCCATTGCGAGGCTTGGCACCGTTGGCTGTGCCTTCTGCGTCGGCGGCTTGCTCAGACTTGTACTGAGAGTAACGTGGGATGTGCGCTGCTGAAGCCTCCTGGTTGAGTCCAATGCGGATGTTGATAAAGTGTTCGAGTGTGTAGGAGGGTCCAACCGAAGTGGCGCTACGGTGATGGGTGTACAGATCAAGCATATCGAGGAGCGTCTCCATAACCTCTGCCCGGCTGGTAGCCCACTTGTGGTATCTCACAGGTCCTGCATCCACGAACTTAGCGGTATCCTTCCCGTGCAATCGTGCGGCAAGCTCTAAGCACGCGATAGCCAAAGTCGGCGTAGACTGCTTCAGCGGTGCAAACGTCCTGTATGAATCGATGCTCAGGTTCCAGGTCGTTTTCGCCTCGTCTTTCGCGTCGAATCGCAGAGCTCTGGCAAGCTTGACCATGACCTTTTGGGGGTATCGGTTGCGGAAGTCGAAGCCGGCGCTTTCGAGCATGAGTCGTTCGAGACCGATGATAAGCTTGGAGTGGTTATCGAAGCGCTATTGGTGTGTTAACTTTGGAATCGCGACTACTCTCGCTCACAACAGGTGCATACCGGATCATCGCTGCTTAGGCTCTCACCAGGCCCAACCTTGAGGTTCCAATGGGCGCAAAGAATCTCCCTACTCTTCTTTAACGTATCCTCAATCTTGCAGGCTGTGAAGAGTGCAGCAGCTGCCGCGTCGGCCCAGTTGTACTCATTGTCCGCGTGTAATAGCCTGAACTTGTGGTAGTAGATCACAGCTGTGTTGAAGGTACGGATAGGCAGCTGCAGCGCGCGCCGGACTTGATCTATCCAGGCAACGCCTTGCAAGCGCACAGCATCTTCCTTGGCATCGCTCATGTGAATCTCCGCGAGACATTTCTGCATGCGCGACTGCAGGATGTAGGGCTTCGCGATCTCGATATAGGACGGGTGTGGTCCGACGCGCTCAGGATCGCGCTCGGATGGAGAGGCGGTGGGCGCCATGACGTGCGCTTTTGTTCAGAACCTGTGCTGAGCGTCTTGCGTCGTTGCAACTGTTGGTATTGCGGTGTCGGTTGGAAGCAGCGTGACTGTGCGCAATGGGTCGGGCATTCACTCCTCTGCCGCGCTTTTACGATGGCGTCCCAAGCAAAAAATTGCAATCCGTGGGAAGGTTCTGGGGCTGGGAGGATGCTGCTGCGGGCAAGCAGGCGGTGGAAACTCGAAGACAATCGGCATGTGGAGTGGACTTCCAAGGGTCATGGTCATAGCTCTAGTCCCTGCCCGCGGTAGACATGTGGACCACTGAGCTTGCAATCCACCCAGCACGTTTTGCAAAAGCACGCGAAGATTGTTCTTGACTTCATACATTCTCCATGCCATTATCGCTGTCCTATATAAGGCCGTCCCCTCCCCAGCTTATCCCCTCCTCGTCCCAGTATTATTTCATCCCAGCTTACACTGTACTCATGAAGCCAACGGGCTACTTCTCAAGAAGCGCCAAGGGCCGTAATCATTAATGTCTAAAGATGCAAGACCAGAGTACAAGTGTACCTCTGCCTTGGACGAACCAAATTTTCAACACAGAAATCTACGGACGCAAATGCAAGAAAGATCGCTCAATGTGCGCATCACGTAGCTGAAAAGAACATTGACTGTTTATGCCGCTGTTCGGTCCTTGAATGTAAGAAGGCAGTCATCCTATACAAGGTTAGCGAATGATATGAAGAGATGTGGATGGTGCGCAATACGACTTACCATAGGGAAAATAGTGGCAAACACCTTGATCACCTCACTCTGATCGGTGACCTTGTGGTCCCAGTCAAGCAACATACTCGCCTTGCCAATCATCAACATGAGGTTGGCTTGCGCGTATGTCTGGCCCAGGCAGTAGTGAGGACCTGTGCCGAATACGAGCCAGTTCTTGGTTTGTTGATCAGCGTTGCCAGTGATCCATCGCTCAGGCTCGAACGAGTCCGGGTTGGGGTATGCTTCAGGGTCGTGAAGTGCCGGGTAGGTGGTAGGAATGACCATGGAGCCCTTGGGAACGGTGTATTCAGGTGTTACAGGGAAGTCCTTCTTAGCCAGGTAAGGAACCATGATGACTGGGGGACGGTAGCGGAGAGTCTCCTTGACGACAGCGCGGGTCCATTGCAACTTCTCGATGGCGTCAAGCGAAAGAGTACCGTGGACATCGCCATTTCTGGCCTTGATGTTCTCCTCGCGGATCTTTTCGAGGTACTCGGGGCGGTCAGCCATGATCTGGAAGAGCCATGTGGCGGCAGAAGAGGTAGCGTCCTGGGAAGCGAAGAGGAAGGTGAAGATAGTCATGGAGATCTCAAGATCGCTGAACCAGCGGATGACAGTCGCGGGCTTCTCGGCGTCATCGACCTTCTCGCCAGCTTCAACCCTCTTGCGGTACTTCTCAGACTCGATCATGTTGTCTACCCAGAAGTCGAGAATGCACTCCTTCTTGCCTCCAGCAGCCATGCGGACCTTGCTCTTGGCGGCACACTTGGAGAATTCATCCAGGACCATGTCAGCGCACTTCTTTCCGTACCAAGTCTTGGTGAAGGGGATAATGATAGGGAAGTTGACGAGCTCGAGCGCAGCGGTGATCAGGTAGTAGTCGTCGGCGATCTTCTTGACGGCGTCGTCAGAGGTGTAGTGACCAACAAAGGTACGGCAGCTCAACGCAGTGATCATGAGGCGGAACTCTTGCATCCAGGGAATGTGCTTGCCCTTGTTTTCTACTTGCGAAAGCTCCACAAAGCGCTTGAAGTATGTGTTGTAGACTTCCTCCTGGCCCGGTAGGTACTGTTCGAGCGCTTGACGAGTAAACAAGCTGTTGAGACCTTTGCGGTAGTCGACGTGGGCACGGCCGTCCAGGAAGACCCAGTTCTCGGGGCGGAGGAGTTTCTGCGCGACATCGACGACGCAGGGCTTAACGAAGGCGGGGGAGTTGAAGATCTTGCGGGCCATGTCGCGGGTAGAGGCAATAACGACGAACCTAGAAGCGGTCAGCATAGGCACAGACTGAGGGCAGGTGACAGGGTGGCATACTTGTGGAAGACGGATACGCAGCTGAGAGGGCCGGACATCCATTTTTCGTGGTACTTCTTGAAGTCGGGGTTGACAGACTCGAGGAATGGACCGATGAAGGGTATCTTCCACGAGGGACCGACGATTGAGCCCTTGTTCCAGATGTATTTGACTATGCGAGTGTCAGCAATGTCCGGCGCAAACGTAACACATGTGATGCCTACACTGGTCGTACGCCACCGCCGTTATGATAAGCGTCAGAGCGAGTTTCCAGGCATTGAAGCCGGAGAAGACGGAGGATAGGAGACCGCTGGTATCGAATTGCTGGAGGACATGCGCAACTTTTGCATCCGCCGTCGGCGAGACAAAACTCGCGTTGACCGCCATGTCGAAGAAATGAGGATCGCGCCGCGCTGTGTTATGTACGGGGGGAGGCGCGAGGGTCGCGGAGGGGAGGACGTAGAGAAGCCAAAGGGAGTCAATCGACGCCGTATTATATTCCCGCGCGAGGACGAAGCCGAAAAGAGGATCTCTGATTGTTTAATTGCAGGGCTTGGCGCGAGCGGTGGCCACTGCAAAAGGAGCCATGTCAATCACATCGACTTTCGGACTCTAGTGCGTTATAGGCCTGGCGCTGCCCGGCGAGTCGGATTTAGCACATCCGGGCGCGCGACGAGTGGACGCCCATGGATGATGCTGCCGTATAGAGCGCGGCATCTGTGGTCGGCGGATACGACCATACGACGCATGCATGTCGCCGGCACATGCAGTGACGTTGTTCGGAGACTAAGCCTAAGTCGTGCGTTGTCTTAGAAATCCACTGTAGGTCTCAGATCTCGAGATCGAGGGACGGGGACCGCCCCATACAGTTCCTGCCCTAGTTTTCAGGCACGCGGCCAATCGGCATCTTCGCCCGCGCCGCAAGCACGGCATCCAATTCGAGCCTGCGCATCGCATGTCCAGCACGCCACCTGTGAAGTATGCCCAATGATTTTCGACTCGACCAATTACATGCTACCAAGATTAGTGTTCCCAAAGTCGCGGTAGGGAATGTCGCTGCAATGTCAAACTGCGACAAGGCCATACCTGGTCTGACAGTAGTAGTCGTCATCTACGAACATGGAAGCGCCGATAGCATTGATGGCACATCATACAAGGGAAACCCCGAACAAGTCTGAAGGTTACACTGGAATAGAGAGATAGATTAGAAGATCTAGCGTTGATGTAGGATCTAGGGTGTTTCCTCTTCTCGGGTCCCTCTAGCCCCACCTGCGGTCAAGAGGCACCGGGTTGATAGAGCTGGGCCAATATCTGCCTTCTGTGATGGGAAGCGTGGCCTCGGTAGCTGTAATCGAGTCCATGCCCCATCGCTCGCGAAGCATGTGGTCTATTTCAACAGCGGGATAGCCAAACGAAACGTCGTCCCGATCCATTCTTGGGATTGCAAGGTAAAATTGTGCCACCCAAGTGTTTTCATCTTGATGAATGGCTTTCTCCTGTATTACCGTTAGCTCAATCTTGGACACTTAGCCTGACGTTGGCGATTGCTATACTTACTTGCTCCCACTGCTTTTGCGTCAAACCGAATATTCTCGTGATGTCACGCGGAAAAACCGACATGATCGGGTCGTGATGCGTGACCTTGACAGAGATGTTGTCACAGTCATACTTCATGATGTATACCCAGTTTCTGATAGACTGCAGAAAATTCACGTAGTTGCATTGATAGCCCAATCCAAACTCGTCATCTTGGAAATCTGGGAGCTCAGTCATGACGACAAATTCGATGTTGATATCGTGTCTGGATCGCTCCCTCAGAAATTGGCTGAGACCTTCCAAATTTTGCTCAGTGAAGCGGAGGAAGCGTCGTTCGTAGGAGTATCTATCAAGTTCCGTGAAGTGGTCTCTTTGCATGTCTTCGATAAACTGCTCAAATTTGACGCGAACCTGGAGATTCCTGATGTGGTTCCTGGGGTACAGCAGTGGTTTTGTCTGAACGGCCTCCGGTACTTCCCAGGGGGTACCATCCTCGTCCTCGTATCCCGCTATGTTGTGGCCGGAGTGGTTCTCGGAAAAGCCGAATATAGCTCGTTCAACGCTGCATATGGAAAACGTATTGAGCGCGTAGTATGTCTTCTGTATCTCATACGCAGCTTTCGCACCAACGTATCTGGGGTCCAGAAAATGGCTGGATGAAAGTGGCATATCCCTCGGTGGCTTGTGTGTGTGTTCTTCTCTGACTCGGCCGTCAGGGAGGACAGTGATATTATCGTCGTCGACCAAACTCAATTCATAGTCCCGATGGATTAACTTCAAGTTCGCGATGCGTTCTGTAAGTTCCAGGCTCAATTGTACATCGTTGCTATCATCGGCTTTCCCCGTCTTCACATCGACGTCCGGATTGTTACCGGTGATAGCGCGGTAAGGAGCTGGTGGTGCCCCCCCGAACGAAATCGTTGGTCCCACGAAGCCGTCGTAATGTTCTCTCTGTAATGGATCGTGAAAAGGCTTATCGTATCTGCGGAAGTGATAGTATGGCCCAACGGGAATCGGACGATCAGGTTCAACGCAGAGGAACTCGTACACCAAGTCGCGTAGTTCCACGGGGAGCTTTTGATGCATCAGATTCACGAGCCGCAGACAGTCCTTCATTGCGTAGTAGCGTAGATACTTCTGATACACGACATCATTGGCACGTGCTGCCTTGTTGGTCTGTTCAAGCTCGAGCTTCTTTTTAGTGATTCTGCAGGAACATCAGCTACTCGAATGAATGGTGCGAGTCGTTGTGCAAGTCTGCCATAGCTAGGACATGCGACGCCTACGTCACGGACGCAATTGTTCCTGGCACTCACAGATCTTGTTCGAATTGCGATTGCACGGCCATCCGACGGACGACCGCTTGGAGCTGTTCAAGCTCATTTGGATCATTCATCTTGCATGCGAAGAGCGAGGAAAATTGAAGTCTGTGGGCTGAAAACTAAAACGTGTCGAAGGCGCAATTCATTTGTTCTGAAGTCTGAAACATGAAGCGGGAAGCTCATCAGTACGGAGTACGACCGGTTGACCCCCACATTTAGCGCGTCACGTCCATTGGCTAGCCCGAAACGCGTCGCGTAGTCACGCCGTCCGCATTCAACCGTCTCCAGGACGTCACGTCGGCATGGGTTGACATGGCCACCATCAAGGCCATCGAGGGCCGCTCTGTGCATCAGATCCAGTCAGGCCAGGTCATTGTTGGTCTGGAGTCAGTCTGCAAAGAGCTTGTCGAGAACAGCATCGATGCAGGCGCCACATCAGTTGGTATGTCTTCGCCCCACGATTTCTGGTTGACATAAGCTGACTGATGGCGAACAGAGGTGCGCTTCAAGAACTATGGCCTGGACGCCATAGAGGTTCAAGACAACGGCTCTGGCATTTCCCCTGACGACTACGAAACGATCGCGCTCAAGCACTACACGTCCAAACTCGCTACCTACGACGACCTTTCGTCCCTACAGACATTCGGCTTCCGTGGCGAGGCCTTGTCGTCGCTATGCGCGCTATCCAACTTTCACATCATTACGGCTCGACCCTCCGACGGCCCAAAGGGTACAAAGCTGGAGTTCGAGCAGTCCGGCAAGCTGAAGGGGACGTCGGTGGTAGCAGCCAAGCAGGGCACAACTGTGGTGGTCGAGACACTGTTCCATAACCTACCTGTACGGCGGAAGGAGCTCGAGAAAAACATCAAGCGGGAGTACAACAAAGTGCTGCAGCTGCTGAACGCATATGCTTGCATCAGCGTAGGCGTCAAGTTCTCGGTGAGCAATCAGATACCGAAAGGGTGAGTGCAGATCCAATATCCATCCAACCGTCCATCGTGCTGACTCAGTCAAGAAAGAAGACGGTGGCTTTCTCGACCAACGCGAATGCGAGTACGCGAGACAACATCTCCAATGTCTACGGCGCAAAGACGATTGCCGCCCTGATTCCTCTAAGCCTCGAATTCGTCATGGACCCTTCGAGCCGGCTGGGTGCCACACAAAGCGCAAAGAACTGGAGCACACAAGAGGAAACAGGTTCAAAAACAGTCAAGATAGTAGGCCACATTTCCCGCCCTGTTGTGGGTGAAGGTCGCCAGACACAAGACCGACAGATGTTCTTTGTGAATTCGCGGCCTTGTGCTCTGCCACAAGTTGCCAAGGCCATCAATGAGGTCTACAAATCCTATAACATCACGCAGTCGGCTTTTGTGTTTGCAGACATCCAGCTGGACACTAATGCCTACGATGTCAATGTGAGTCCAGACAAGCGGACCATCATGCTCCACGACCAGACTACGCTATTGGAGAACCTCAAGGACGCTCTTCTAGAGCTATTTGAGGGCCATGATCAGAGTGTACCTCAAGCTCAACTCTTGGGCAAGAAGACACCCACATCCGCCTTCAAGCCGCCAACAATACAACCCCGTGAAAGCACCACCTCGACATTTGCAGACGACCGAAGCGAATCGGAAGATGCTGTCGAGCCTCCCCGAACGACTCCAAAGAGAGGTGAATTGCCATCTCCTCAAGACACGCCCGATATGAATGTGCGTCCAGGCTTCGTAAAGGCAAGTCTCATTGAGCGGTTTACTGGCAGGGACTCCGAAGAACGAACGGTCCGCCCAATGGTAAGACCTAGAAGAGCCAGCTCCCCAAAGAACAGGGAGTCACCCGAAGAACCCATGTCCGATGCGCATGTTGCTCCACGCAGCCCTTCGCCGGAGAAAAGAATGGAGGTCGAGCTAGCGCGCTCAAGATCACAATCACCATTGTTTGAACCAGAAGACGAAGCGGCTGGGGTCCCTGTCAGGCTTTCCCAGCCTTCCAAAATCGTCCAAGATTTTAATGCTCGCATAGCATCTCAGAGTCCTCATAAGCAGGAGCCAGTCATTTCGCCAAAGCAGACAGAACCCACTGATGACGATGACGATGAACAACAGCCAATTCCGGCCATAGTACAAACGCCGCAGAAGTCCTGGTCACAAAGTACTATCCAAAACGCCTTTGATCGTATGCGTCCAATGCGCACGCCAATTCAACAAGCTACTATAACTGTTGGTGACACGACGACGGTTTCCACAATCGGTACGGGGAGTCAATCACTGGCTGCCAAACGCTCTAGGATACACACACCCAAATTTTCCCTCTCCGGTAAGCCGCTGAATCAGACACCAAAGCGGAGTTTATTCAAGAAGGGTCTAAGCGGCTTTGCAGCACCGGGTACCCAAGCTGAAAGTAGTGAGGAGGAGAATGATGAGGAGGACGAGGTGGAGGACGAGACTGAAGTCGCGCAAGACAGTCTTATGTCTGATGCACCTGTACGCTCTCCATCTCCGCATAAGCGTCTGCCGTCCCGCGGCTTTGAGGAACCGCGGACGGATGATATCGCTGTCTCATCCAGCGCGCCACCGCCGCGCGCAACAGTCATTTCAGAAGACGCCCCAGAAGAGGAATCCTCATCCGATGGTGAAGCACAGCCTCAAGCTGAAGCTGGAGCCGAGATCACAGATGATGATGAGTATATAGAAGATTCCGAAAAGAAAGAGAGAGAAGAAGCGAAGATTGCGCAGCTCATTGCTGACGCTGAAGAAGCTGCAGCCCGGCCCACTGAAATGAACTTGAAGCGCGCCAACAAACTGTTCAAGGTCACCCAGAAGAAGTATTGGACCATCAATCTTGAGCGTGTCATCGAGACAGATGTAGATGCTATTGCTCGGCACCTACAAAATGTGCGGGCATCCATCGACGCGTCGATTGCGGAGACCGATGAGGCCACTGCGCTACCGACAACCACCCAGTTGAATCAGGAAGACCCGGAAGAACGTCTCAGCCTTACAGTGACGAAAGCCGACTTCCATGAGATGCGCATCATTGGTCAGTTCAATCTTGGCTTCATCATCGCTGTGCGACCGCCCACATCCACATCACCCACATCAGACCTCTTCATCATCGACCAGCATGCCAGTGACGAAAAGTACAACTTTGAGCGTCTCACTGCCACGACAACGCTAGTGCCACAGCGACTAGTCCACCCACATCCTCTCGAGCTGACTGCCGTGGAGAAAGAAGTTATCCGCGAGAACAAACCCTCGCTCACCGCGAACGGCTTTGTCGTCGATCTAGACACCGAGGACGAAACTGGCGCAGATAACCATGCGCAGTTGGTCTCATTACCAATGTCAAAAGAAGTCACCTTTACACCTACGGATCTAGAGGAACTCCTCGCACTCATCATGGAAAGCCCGCAGGCTTCCTCCATGTCCACATCGTCGCATATACCGCGCCCCTCCAAGGTCAGGAAGTTGCTTGCAAGTCGCGCGTGCAGAAGTTCGGTCATGATCGGTAAGACCCTTCAGACGCCACGCATGCGGGAGATTGTTCGACACATGGGTAGTATGGATAAGCCGTGGGCTTGCCCCCATGGCCGGCCTACTATGCGTCATCTGTTTGGCTTGGAGAAGTGGCAGGGTTGGACTGAGGGGGACGGCGTGACGGGAGTTGATGTCCAGGGTGAGAAGACTGATTGGAATGCGTATCTGAAGGATAGCAAGAGATGATGGAAACGGAAAACGCAGAGGACATGCTGCAGAAGGACCAGAATACACAAGTATTATTACGTGAATTGCTCTACATCAGCGCTGTTATCAATAACTAGATAGAACATGTCGTCTTGGCCAATAAACTTTGCAGTCCTGTCGACATGTTCTATCTAGTCATTGATAATGACGCTAGTGTAGAGCACTGTCTTAAGTACCTACACTTGAGATTGTATATTACTAGGATAGATGAAACTAGCACCTCGTTCGCAATGGCGGATGTTTGGAACACACGTAGACGCCTCGGTTTCTTACCCGATCTAGGTGTTTGCTTATCAGAGTCCGGCTGCTGGTACGGTCGTTTGGCTAGTACTCCCCGTCGCCCCCTGTACTGGTTATGTGTCTTTCTTCTTACTTCTGCATTCGTATTCCCTATCATCTCACCTCTTGGGCTTTCGGAAAGATTTGTCAAAACTCATCTCGATACACTGTCTCCCACCTAACCATGGTGGAAAACTCTACCTGGCTCATCGCAGGATTTCTTGCTCTCTCCCTCTATCTAGACATCGTTCTAGCGCGAATAGATTTCGTAGATGCATTTCGCGAAGTAGACGAATCGCTTGAAAGACCTGAGGGACCGAGAGCCAATGATTATCACGACGAGGATCAGCCGGATGCCGATGAGAAGGAGGATTAATCTAGTACACGGAGACCGAACGTCGATACCGATACGGGTACATGCATTGTATGACAAATTTAGAAAATAGTGTTTGCTTCTCGAACCGGGAGAGGTGAAGATGTTGTCACAACGATGTGTCGCTAGATGTCGGTCCTCACGCTTAAACTGCGTTTGCGCGTTTGCCAGCACGGCTTCCGGTTTCTCGCCAGCGAAGCAGCTTGCTGTTCAGATATCTTCAAACTATCTTTACCTTTCTTCAAGTGCAATGTGCCCTTTTGTCATTTACGATGTCTTCTAGGAACTCGTGTATACTACCTCCTTCATCGCCACAGCTATGACAACCCCAGACTCCAACTACGATGCCTCAGCCTCCGACTTCACATGGCCCAACGCCAAAGCACTATGGGTGATGGTCATCATCGGCGCGGGTCTAATTTTACTCCGCATCATTTACAAAGTCTGCATGAAAATGCATCAACGACGGGTCCAGCGAGATGGTGAACACGATTTTGCCGATTTGGTACAAGGGTCGACACGAGTTGGGCTGGAAGACGGTGCGATAAGGTTGCAGAGGCCGTCGCGAGCAGTGACGAGAAGAAGTAGTGAAGTCTCGGCTTTACCACGGTATGAGCGGTTCGATGAAGGGGAATTGTGTGACGAGGATGCGCGGATTGAGAAGAGGGAGCGGTATAGTTATGTGTTGGGCGAGCGGTGGCCTGCGAAGAGAAAGTGGTAAAGAGGAGGATGATTAATTTTGAAGGAATGATGTGGCTAGCGCTTTGCGACACAAGGAAGGGGCGATACGCTGGCAGTGGTGATGGTGAAATGGACGATCGGGGTGCTTATATCGTTGAAAACCAGCCTCGCCTTCTGTTCTTTCCGCAAAACCCCATACATCGTACTAGATACCTAACGCGTAAGCGTATTTCGATCAAGCACACCCAGACCATGATCCGCGCCTGCAATGAATCAGTTATACGAAATCCTCATGCTGTTCGGCCTTTGCCTCGCCGTCCCGTTCGTATCTTATCTGATCTTTATCACCGTCAAGGAGCCTATGCCAGTGCGCAGCTGAGGACAACCATCGTGCAAGGGATACGCGCCCATTTCACATCCGCGGTTGTGCACAAGATGCCATACAATCAACTCGTTGGAAGGAACAAGACGATCAGGTGTACCAAGTAACACGGGTGTTCAAGCTATCAATGATGCCACCGAAAAAGCTAGTTGGTTACGTACCTAGTACTGAATGTCTATTCGTCACTCTCTTTTTCTATCCTACTTGATGATCATGAACGTGGACGTGGGCGTCCTCGCGATGTGAAGTATGTGATGAGTGACATGGGCACCCAGCCAGTCGTGACGATAATCGTGATCTACTCAAGAATTCACTTATTCTGTTATACTTTCTACTTCTTTGCGTATCTTTCGCGACAACGTCTTCCCCACATCTCGTGCAGCACCCAAAGAACCCTCAAGCTCGCGGTACCACAATCTAGCAGTAAAGTCTCACCCACCCGAAATGCCCAACTCCCCAACCCCCCTCATCTGGCGCTGGATTCTCTTCAAAGAGTGGCTCCGACGCATGAAGATCAGAACGCGCAACTACCATGCCGGACCCAAGAAAACAGATCCTCAGTCAGACTTATACTACGATTATAGAACGACGCGACCGAGACCGACGCAGACGGCTGAGAATGCGCATCCGGGGGTGGTTTATTATGCTTAGTAACGGGGGTGGTGGTCACGGTGGTTTCCGATAGGAAGAGCGAGGTGGTTGGAACATGTTTGTAACGGATATGTGCAGTGAGAAGTGCTGGCTTAGGAGAAAGAAAGCATGAAATCGCGGTTAGGGAACATGACGATGTTATCCACGCTATGCACTGGAGACGCCATCGTGTGATTCAGATTGAATTTGGAATAGACCTCCTTTCCAGACATACTGTCCTGCGTTGGCTGATCTGCTGTCGATATCATCATAACAACGCGTCGCGCGTACGTGTGCTCGCGGAAGATACATCCCTCATTTAATCCCTCATCTGAATCCCATGCCCACTGCTCATCCTTCAACAACCGCGACATGGAGATCGAAAGCATCGCAGTCATCTGCCTAGTCATCCTCCTCGTCCTCCTCATCCAGATCATATTTACCTTCCGGCTACTGTTATCCTTCCACCATCGATCTCAGGAAAGAGATGAGGAGCATGGCCTGCGCACTATATCTGCTATGCCTCAAACCATATCTATACAGGAAGAAGCTCAGCTGCCATCGCATAGCAACGCGCAACGCCTTACTATACCAGGACCGACGTATCCATCGAGCTCTAGATACAGTGTCCGATCAGACATCAGCGATTCGTCGTTCCATTGCGAAGTGTCCCCAAGCCTCTGCCACGGAGTAGATGCTGTCAGTAAGGGTGAGAAAGCGCAAGTGTCGCACAGTGAATCGATATGACTGCGGAGACCCTTTTGCAAACGACGCGGTGAAGAAGACGAAAAGGAAAGATGTACTAGAAGAATTGTGGGATGAAAAGCCTTGAGGTCCTTAGAGCAAAGCTGATAAGGGAAACAAACGCTGGGGGGAGGAGTTAGGTGCGCGTAATATGCGCATCTGGCAAGCTGACGCACCCACATGATATGAAGGGCAAGCCGGAATTCGTATATATAGCGCCCTGCTACTACGCTATGTTAGCTTCTCCAATAGCTTTATTCAGTCACAAAACAACCACCATCCATTCACTCAACCGACCACTCATCATGACAGGTATAATCCAAAACCCAAACCAACACCCTCCAAACATACCCCTATGCTTTCCCTACTTCGCGCTAGGCGTCCTAATAGGCATCCTCATCGCATCACTATGCTGTGCGATTTATGGCTGTGGCATCGTTCTTGCACGAGACAGAAGACCTGGTCTCAGGAGGACGCCTTCGGAAAGCTCATCGGGGTATTACGCTGATGACGAAAGCGAGTCGATTGACAGTGACGCTTCGTTGACACAGCGTGTGTTGATCGAGCCGGATTATGCAGTGACACCTGTGAGGTGGTCGGATGCCGGGCACTGAACCTAGAGACGACCAGATTCCCAGAGTTTGCGTGTCAAGGTGTGGATTTGCGCGCTGGCAATAAAGTTGGTGGTCAGACGATCAAACCGTTGCGTTGGCATCGCATGTATGAAACCGCGACTTTGACGTTTGATCAGATGTCGAACGGGGAGCAAACCGATTGCATGGTCTTCAAAGGCAGACAGCGTAGCTATTGAACGATTAGTGAAAGCCAACTGCTGAAGATTTACGTCTCCGACCACATCAGGTCATCGACTCGCGTATAATCACCCTCCAACCTCTTCTTCACACAGACGATCCCATCTCACACCAAAACTCATGAAGATAAAAGCTGAGCCCAGCGTAGCCGTTGGAGTATACATGGTGATGGTCACCAGCTGTGTACTCAAGATACCCACAGTCCCACTAGGGACATCGATCAGACCAGGAACCTTCAGTAAGCGGAATCGCCGAGTGCTGGAAGAGCTCAAGCGAAGGCTCAAGAACGAAATTTATGGATTTCCCCAGGTTGACGAAAATCCTACCATGTCGGATGCGGAATATTTTGGATGGACCGCAGCGTGCTGAAATGGCTCACACAACATAATCTAAATGTGCATTACTATCTTGGAAATCTGCATGTGAAACCTTTCTAGAAAACTATCTATGCATCCTGAGGCCCCATATCAAACAACAAGAACTCAGCAGGTTTCTCGCCCACACTCTCAATCTCAATCTTGCCAGGCCCGCTCACACCCTCGATATACGCGCCATCGCCCTCTCCAAACACCTGATCCCCAATCTTGATCTGCGCCCCACCCTGCTTGGGCTGCGACCGTCCACCCATAACAACATGAGCAAAGAGCTTTCTGGGCCCCTCAGCAACAAGCTCATGAACAACCTTCTTACCCGGGCTCAAAATCGACGCATCCATGCTAAGATCAGCCTGCAGCCCAATAGCACCCTGACTCTTCTCCAACCTATCCGTAGACTCCATTATCCTAACCAGCTTATCCGTCTTCTCCTCGTCGGTGAACTTCTTCGTTTCGTAGTGCGGCTTCAGGCCACGCTTGTTGGGCTTGGCCCAGATCTGGAGGAAGTGGACTTCGGAGTCGTTGTTGCGGTTGTATTCCGAGTGGCGGATGCCCGTGCCGGCGGAGGTGAATTGGACTTCGCCGCGCTTGAGGTTTTCAAGGTTGCCCATGCTGTCTTTGTGTTCGAGGACGCCGTTGACGATGTAGCTGAAGATGAGGAATTCGGCGTGGCTGTGCGTTCCTGTTTGGTATGTTAGAAAGGAGTAGGCGTGTACATGGGACGGGGTGTACGTACCGAAACCGGTGCCGGCCTTTACTCTGTCTTCGTTGATGACCCTCAGTGGGCCGAAGCTCTCGTGTCTGGGGTCATAATACGAGGCGAAAGAAAAAGTGTGGTATGTGTACAGCCAGTCGTGGTCGGCATGTCCGCGTTGTGACCAACCGCGCTTGGTGAGCTTCATCGAAGTTGGGCCTGCCGTCGACATTGCGCGTGTGGCGGGCTTGGTAAGAACAGCAGGAAACCAGATACTTCGGAAAGTGCTTGAGAAAGCCAGGATGATTGCGAAAAGACCAACGACTACAGTAAGTGTCTTTGTGGTTGTCGAATACGAAGTATCTGTTGTAGTAGAGCGATGTTCACCAGGTGTGTCTGTCATCACGAAAGGAAGAATCCTGGCATCGAAAGCGTCGAGGCGCCTTTATAGCTGTTAGTAGGGGGAGTGTTAGTTCGCGCATCATGTCGAAGCTTCATTTACTTCGCGCATCGCATTTGCAATGAGTGACTAAGGCACGGCCAGGTTAGTAACAGCCTCTTGTGGGGAAGAGAGAAGACGCTTGCTGACCAGGCGGATTACCGATGGATGACGGAATCACCCCTGCTTCTTTCTCAGCTAGCCCCCATTGGCCGCTTGCCGAAGGCGTTGCGGAACATGTCCGATCGCAGCACTACGACCAAACTATTACGGTTCGCGCGTTGTTTACTTACTACCGTTCTGAGTTGACGTACCGGCACAAGGAAGAGTCGGAATTGTGGATTACCAACTATACTGGTGGTTGTGCAGGTTTGCGAACATAATCACGGATCGGCATCTACCCGTAAATCATCAACATGGCATTGACCAACTTCAACCCCGATGCATTCTTCGAGGCCTGGACAGAAAAAGAATACTCTCCAACCCACAGCAACAAGCCATTAGCACAATGTATAGGAGAATCCTTCGGCATCCCCCCAACCGACAAATACATCTACCGCGCCCAAGCCGAAACAACCCTCCACGCGGCCCAAAGAGCCATCGAAGCGAAGAGAGCCCACGGTCTCCATGGATGGTACCACGATGACTCCGGAAAACCTTTCGACCCGCCCCAATACCCAACGCCAGAAGAGATCCAAGCCTACACCACCCTCTTCTCCCCCCAAAACAACCTCCCCACAGCCCTAAACAACTTCACCAAATCCGCAAAAGCCGACACCCTCCGCAAACGCATAGGAAACCATCTAACCAGCCGCTTCCTCAACACCTCAACCCAAACCCTGCTCCCAGCGAAGCGAGACCCCAAAAAAGCCCCCCGCCAACACAAAAACCCCTACCTCGATCTGTGGGCCTACTCCTGTGAAGAACTAGAATGGGCAGGTCCTTTACCCTTAACAACAAACACCCGAATCTCGCATCACATCCTCCCAATCTTCTACCACCATTTCGGCTGCGCAGTCCCGTCTTACGCCGCTTTGCATGTTCTGGCTAAACTGGCTCAGCCGGCGCGGCCCGCAAAGGAAGATGTGTTGCCTATCCTGGATGTAGGGAGTGGAAATGGGTATTGGACGTATATGCTCCGCAACTTCCCTGTTTCGCATATTGGTACGGAGAAGGGACTCGATGTACGGGCTATTGATAATCAGGTTAGTGAGTATCGGGTGACGTGGATTAAAGATACGATTATTATGGATGGGAAGGAGTATCTCAAACGCCATGATGGCGGGAAGGGATGCGTGTTACTACTGGTATATCCACAAGCGACGGGGGGTTTCACGGGCCCGCTGCTTAAGGCGTTCGCAGGGGATAGGATTGTGGTTGCGGGGACGCAGAACGGGAACGGGTTTACTGGATTTCAGGATGTGGTGGTTGATGAGTGGGTGGAGAAGAATCTGAAGGCATTTGAGTTGGTGCTTAGGATGCCGTTGCCGAGTTTTGCGGGCAAGGACGAGGCGCTGTTTGTGTTTGAGAGGAGGAAGTAGGAGGATGGCATGAAGACAGGAAGGCATAAACGTCACAGCTACCGAAGATAGAGCTTGTATCATACAGCATTGTATAGCTGATCATATTCATCATTCATAGCGTAGGACATGCCAGTACCTATATTCGCTCACTTTTCCCCATCTACCACTTGGCCTCCTTCTTCGCCAAGAATGTGTTCAGGATAGCGACCAGCTTCTCCAACGCCGCGAGCCACTTCTCAAGCTCAGCCTGTACTTTGCTTTCGTCGTCGCCCAACTTTCCGTAGAAGTCCTTGCGGTAGGGTGTGGCGCTCATGGCAGCACTGAAGATGGGCTTGACCATGAAGGAGTGGTGGGGCTTGAGTGTGTTGCCGTAGGCATCGCGGAAGGAGTCGGCGAGCTCCTTGGAGGGGTTTGAGATGTTGTGGCGGAGGGCTTGGGCAGTGAAGTCGAGGCCACTGGGACAGATTAGCAACGTGATGTTGGGGTGTGAAAGGAGAGCTTACCGGTTCAGCCATACGAGACCCTCGGTGGCGGTGTGCTTCTTCTCCTTGAGCTCGTTCAGGGCAAGCTCTTGAAGTGATTCTGACTGGGCGGGTGCTGCGAGCTGTCTGTCGCGGATTTTCTGCCCGGCGTTAGTACAGCTGTTGCTGTAGCATCAATTAAAGTTCTCACCTTGATGTTGCCGCTCATGTCATTCTTGACCGGCTTGAACGCCACCGAGCCCAAGACATCGAACAAAGTAGTCGTGCTCTCAGCCGCCTCTAGGAACTCATTCGTCGAGATAGCATTGTCCTTGGACTCATCGACAGGCACGTCCACGAAGCTCTTCTTGACCGTCTCGAAGAAGGTTCCGCCGGGAGGGTACGCAGCAGCCATTGTGGGGTAGTGTGTGGTGTTTTGTTGTAGTGTTGGAAAAAGCAATTGAGGTTCAGATGCGAGAAAGGCAGAAAGACGTTTGTTATGGCAAAGGTGGTCTCGGCCCAAGCGGTGAGCTCTGGTGCGTTCGACACGCGTGGCTTTGGTGGGGCATGCGGCTGCAGTGAGCTAGCGCGGGGAAGGCGCGACGCACAGGGTCTCGAGAGGGGAACTGCGAGCGGCTAGCTCACCTTGCACATGGGCGCTGCATCTGTCTTGGGCAGCGTCGTCGGGACGCAGAATTATGTCCGGAGGTAGTTTGTCCTGCGCGGAGAAAGAATTTCCGGCAGTCGTGACCTGCCTGCGGTATAAGACATCATGAGCCTGCTGTCGTCGTCAGATCGAGAAAGAACACCATCACCTGCAGGGTAATATATCGCCATCCCGATCTCTATCAATCGGACCTTCTGATCCTTGCTTGAACATATCTCCGAACCTACAGCAACCACAACCACTAAGATGCCATCGCATATCCACTCGGTAACCAACATACACCGTATAGCCTGCATCCCCGGCGACGGCATCGGTGTCGACATAACAGAAGCCGCCGTCCAAGTCCTCAACGTCCTAAGCAAAACCATCGGCGGCTTCGAATTTGACTTCAAGACCTTTGACTGGAGCAGCAAGAACTATCTCGAGCGAGGATGGTACATGCCACCGGATGGTCTCGAGCAACTAAAAGCCTATGATGCCATCTACTTCGGTGCCGTCGGCTGGCCCAACGTGCCCGACCATATATCCCTCTGGTCCCTCATCTTGCCAATCCGGAAGTCGCTGAACCAATACGTCAATGTCCGCCCTACACGCATCCTCCCTGGCACCACATCTCCTCTATCGAATTGTAAACCCAGCGATCTCGACTGGATGATCATTCGCGAGAACAGCGAGGGCGAGTACTCCGGCCAAGGCGGCACGTCGCACGAAGACAGCCCGCACACAATTGCCACTGAAGTCAGCATCTTCACACGCGTGGGCATCGAGCGCGTAATGCGGTATGCATTCGAAACCGCGCGCTCACGACCACGCAAGAAGCTCACCATGGTGACCAAGAGCAATGCACAGCGCCACGGCATGGTCCTCTGGGACAAAGTCTTCTACGAAGTCGCAAAAGAGTACGAAGACGTTGAGATAGACAAGATGCTTGTGGACGCCATGACGGTGCGCATGACGTTGCAACCCTCCTCGCTCGACACCATCGTTGCGACAAATCTACACGCGGATATCTTGTCCGACCTTGCGGCTGCGCTGAGTGGGTCGATCGGTATTGCGCCGTCGTCGAATCTCGATCCTACAAGGAAGAACCCGAGTATGTTTGAGCCTATTCATGGGTCTGCGCCGGATATCGCGGGCAAGGGCATTGCGAATCCCGTGGGTGCGTTCTGGAGTGCGGCAGAGATGGTGAGGTGGGTTGGAGAGGAGAAGGCGGCTGATGGGTTGATGAAGGCGATTGAAAATGTTACGGAGAGGGGGGTTAAGACGAAGGATCTGGGTGGAAGTGAGAATACGAAGGGTGTGACCGATGCGGTTTGTAAGGAGATTGAGACGCTTTTCAAGAGGGACTGAATGGGGGAGATACACATGTACAAACCTACCACTACCGCAACAGTCTTCCCATCTTCCTTGGGTATCAATCTATCCCATCTCTCTCACGATCACCCATCCAAAAACACCGCAGGAACCTCACTCCTCCCCTCAACAACCCTACTCCTGTTCCCCCTCTCCCCCCTCACCCTCTCATCCCCCACCTCCCTCAGCCCCAACCAGTCCCTCCAAACCCTGACCGCCTTCCCCTGTATCAACGCCTTACTAATCGGCCCAAAATCATTGCTATCCAAACTCTTCCGCCAATTATCCCCTTCAATCCACACATGTCCATACGGCACAACAACCTTGCCCATCTCCTCCCCATCTCTACCCGCAACGCTGTCCTCGTCGTGATCAGGTAGTCCATCCGGTACACCCTTCAGTCTGTTTTGGAAGGACTGCGGGTCAAGCGCGTAGCCCCGTGTAGGATATACGGTATCCCCTTCCACCGCGACAACGCGTTTTATCCCCATCTCCCCCGGTTTATGCGGTTTCCAGAACGTTACTACGTCGCCTCGTTTTACGCCCCAGAAAATAGCGCCATCCTTCCCATCTTCCCTCTTCTCTCCTTTCACATTCCGTTTCTTGCCATTTCTCCGCTCTTGATACGGTCGCACAATGACATAATCTTCCCGACCTGTCTCGTGCGCATCGGGGCTGAGGGTTGGTGCCATGGAGGAGCCGCGCACATGCTGGATTTCAATGAAGTGGTCGCGGATCCAGAGGAGCGCGCAGATGGCTACGATGCCGTTTGTGCCCCATTTTAGGTAGCGGCCGCGTGCGGTTTCATGCCATCGGGGTGGTGGTGGGGGAGGTGCAGTGCGAGATGGTGTCGCAGGGGTGTGCTTTGATGGAGGCGGAGTGCGCGGGGCTTGGTTGACGGGTCTACCTGGTAGGGGAAAGTTCTGTGCAGTACGAGGTTTTGCGACGATATGGAAGAAAGGTTTGGGAGATTTGGGTGGCATTGGGAGATTGGGGTTGTGATGGGGTGGTCAAGGTAACGCGATGTTGCTCGGCAATACTTGCCCGCGTTGCGCCGTGGGACGTTGGAGGTGCTGCTATTCTTTTGCAAGACCGCATCTATGGCACACATCTAGCGTCACTACGAGCTCAGGCGGCGCTGATATCAAAGAACATATTAAAATGACCGTTTCTAGTACTTCACGTAAGTTCCGGCAATAGTGAATCGATCATAACGTGCAAAGTTCAAGAGGTATATCTAGCTAGATGGCAGCTATAGTACAAGGCCTAATACATATCCACAGTATGCAATCGCTACCATTCGGTCGTTCAATGCTCGTCAAATCCATAACCTAGTCTACTTCAGGGCCTTGATGACGGCGTCGGCGTACTCGAAGGTCTTGGCCTTGCCACCAAGGTCACCAGTGATGGTCTGTAACATCGTTAGCATGTCTTCATATACAAAAGATGATGTCTGGTGCTTACCTTGCCCTCAGCAAGAACCTTGAAGATGGCCTGCTCAATGTTGGCGGCCTCCTGGGTGAGACCCATGTGTCGCAGCATCATGATGGAGCTGAGAAGAAGCGCGGTGGGGTTAGCGAGCTGCTTGCCAGCAATGTCGGGCGCGGAACCGTGGACAGCCTCGAAGATGGAGCAGTTGTCACCAATGTTGCCGGAGGGAGTAAGACCAAGACCACCGATGAGACCAGCGCACATGTCGGAGAGAATGTCTCCGTACAAGTTGGGCATGACAAGGACCTTGTCGTTGTAGGGAACAGGGTCGGTAACCATCTTCAGGCAGGTGTTGTCCAGCAACTCGGCGTCGAACTCAATGTCGGGGAACTCCTTGGAGATTTCGCGGGCGGTGCTGAGGAAGAGACCGTCGGACATCTTCATGATGGTGGCCTTGTGCACAGCGCGGACCTTCTTCCTGCCAATGTCGCGGGCGTGCTGGAAGGCGTATCGCAGGACGCGCTCAGAGGCCTCGCGGGTGATGAGCTTGATGCTCTGGACAACGCCATCGACTACAATGTGCTCGATGCCAGAGTATTCTCCCTCGGTGTTCTCGCGGATCAGGACAGTGTCGACGTCGTCGTAGGGCGTCTTGTAGCCGGCGATGGATCTGCAGGGACGGACGTTGGCGAAGAGGTTAAAGGTACGGCGGAGAGTAAGGTTGAGCGAGACGTGGCCCTTGCCGATGGGCGTCGCGAGGGGGCCCTTGAGGGCGACCAAGTTCTTCTTGACGCTGGCGATGGACTCGTCGGGGATGACTGTCTTGCCGTCCTCGTTCAGGCGCGGGGTGACGTCGACGGATTCCCACTTGATTGGGACGTTGGCGGCCGAGTAGATGTCCTTGACCGACTGCGCAATCTCGGGGCCGATACCATCACCCTCGATTAGAGTGACGGAGTACTTGCCGTCGCTGCCCTTCTGTCCATGGAACTTGGCGACCTCGGAGGCGTATGTGCGGGCGGAGATCTGTATGTATTAGTAGAGTTCCAGGCTATTTTCCTCTTCCTATACACCCATTGTCTTGAGGCGCAAGAATCGTATGTCCCGCGGGAACTCACCTGGGATAGCGCGGGCGCCCATCGTGCGCGGGTAGCCTGGCGCATGCATTGCCGCGCAGGGGCGGCGAAGGAGCGAGCAGCCAACATGTTGAGGGTATGGAAAGGTTGTCACGACCCAATTGGAGCTACACGGTGGTGGTAGCAGGTCGTCGAGGTGGGTGGTCGCGGCGGGAGGGTTGCGCAAAGCTCGGATACAGAAAAAGAAAGCTCCACCGGCCGCGGGATGTCTTCGTGCGCCAAACCGGTCCATTCCGCCTTCGTCATGGCATCCCACCCGCAACCGCCCTGCATTCTCATGCACCCTCGGTTAACGTTAAATTATGGACTGGCGATACGTCTGGCAGCCTCACGAATGACATTCACTTGGTACTGAAGTATACCACCGTGGGCCTTCACTTTAGTGTCACTCGGCGCAACGGAATGTCTCAACCGAGTGCTTGTCACATGTCACGGTACAGCAAAACAGTCGCATCCATGAATTGCACCATGCGCTACAATACTCTACACTCGATTTTAACAGCATGATCAAATGATGGAATTGCTCTGCTTCATTTCCTGTATCCTTGTCTTTATCTTATCTACCCCTCCTGAAAACGCGTTCCGGCTCCCGAACCCTCTCATGCATTTCATATTCACTTGCTAAGCTTTTCTGCTCATCTTTCTCCTCGCGCTTTCTACGAGCCAATCGAGCGACCCCAGATGATAACGCACACAGCCAGAGCATCATTATGACCATAATCGCAGCGGAAGTGGCACCGAAGATGAAGAAGCCGAGCCAGATACGGTATTCGGCGCTTGAAGTGCTTGGTGGGTGTAGAGGCCTGGGATAGACGGAGGTCATGTTGTTTTGTAGTGGCGAAGCATCGGTGGTGTTAGTAGCCGCAATGGCGAGGCCGCCGGAGTAAGGAACGGTGTATGGAGACGCCATGTCTGAAGTTGATCGGCGCTGAGCTATGAGACGGTTGGTACTATGTTCGTGTGCTTTCTTAGCAGTGTGCTGATACTTTGAGTAGGGAGAGGAACAAAATCTAGACTCTACTTCGTCGGGCATTGTGCGCCAGATTTGCTGAACCTTCACGATCTCATGAAACCGACAGCTTACAATGTATTGGAGTATACCATGTAGAATGTCGCCGTTGATACGACTAGCGCTCAGCGTCATCGAACCCGACACTGTGAGCTCACAGGCCTAATGTCTAGTGATAGTCACCATATGGTGTTGAATTGTGTGGACACCGCGATTAGAGCTGCTGTTTACAATTGATCTTCCGCAATCTTCCTAGGTCCTCGTTCATCCCAACTACGACCAGACGTAACAAGACGAAATCACCAACATTACTTGTTCAACATCCAACATGTCACAAAACAATACTATGGCAGCCTTTACTTGGCCTAATGCCGCGCAAGAAACTGCTTCTTCAGGTACGACGACATCGTCTTCTGTTACCACTTCGACTGCAGTCGATCCTGGTGTATTCTACTCATCGGATGTTGCTGCAACGACGTCTACTGCTTCAGACGGAGGAGCGTTCTTTTCTTCGGACGTCTCAACGACTGCTGTTGCCTCTGCCACAAGTACTACAACAGCAGTAGATCCCGGTACCTTCTACTCGTCGGCTGTCCCTACGTCTACTTCCACTGCATCCGATGGAGGCACATTCTTCTCTTCGGACGTTCCCGTCTCTAGCATCGGCTGCCACCATTGCACAGCTTGTACGAAGACGACCTCAACCGCCAGTGCTCACGCAAGTGCGTCTTCCTTCCTAAAGGCAGTCTCGAACAATCCTTGGAATCCAAATGTAGCACCGCCGATTGATGCGTTACCATCGTACGTCGATTACGGCACGGTCTCCACCCTGATGCCCAAAGCTACCGGAGTCGCTTTCGACCGGGGCACACCTTTCGAAATGAATGATCCCATAATGCTAATAGCAGATGCATCGTCTGATCTTCATTCAACCTTCGCCAAGCGAGACAGTCCCCGCTTCGCGAAAAACCCAGGCCACATCATCGGCGTCATCATACTGATCCTCGGTGTCGTCTTCGTATGCTTCCTAGCGATCAAGTACTGTAGGGGTCTAATTCCCACGACCCATGATCCGGAAAAAGGTGATAGCCACCGTCGCTATCCACATTATGAGAAAGAGGTCGTCCGTGGGCGACGACGCCGCCGTGACGGCTCACCTTCCACCACCCACTTTGCTGACATACCAATTTCGGAGGGATACGGTATGGATCCAGTTGATCTTGCTCGCGCCCAGAATTGGCAAGACGGCTTCGACGAAAAAGGTGTGTATGCCACACGAGATCACGTAGATCGAAGGACATCCGCTGATAACTTCCAGTCAGTCGCGACGCATGGAACTGGTGATAATGCTGGATATCGACTGCAATTACCCAGCTTTATACGAACACGCAGCTCGAATCCAAAGTCCCGTCCTGTAAGCGATCTGCCGGCGCTCGCCCGTAATCCGGAGTACCCAGCCGGTCAGCCAGTTTCGCCGTTGAGTGCAGACGGCCCACCCCACGATTATAACCGCACGCGAGATTACAGCGACGTATCACCGCTACATTCGCCCACAATGCATCGCGAGAATCGCAGGTAGTCAGTCCGGTCGAATGGCGAAAATGTGGTGTGGTTGTTGAAGATCAAACAGGTACAGCTGTCAGACGCGTTTCCAGCTGGTGGAGTTTAGAGTTTCGCATGCATATCCTGCAATTTTGCTTTTTTAATTCCGAGACTCGTTACTTGATACAGTGAGATTGGTTCTGCGCCGGCAACATCGTTGGTTTTCGGCGGTTATTTTGGGTGGGTTTCACTTCTTTCATTTGCTGGGGGCTGTGCTTGGTGTGGTTTAACTATCGTGAAGGTCCCCGTCCCCACCTGCCATTCTTACCTGCGCATTCATTCTTTACCTACACACTCATTCAACAACTCACCTACATTCTTTCTATCGCAACTTCCCAACTCGCATAATACATATACAGTTTTCATCTTGCCATATCGCACAACATGCCTGTACTCAAGTTCTCACACCGCGCTGAGCCTATCAACGCCGAACAGCGCATGATTGGGCCCATTCCTTTGCCATGGTTCATTCCCATGTGTGTCTTTGCGCCTTTCTTCCTCTCGTTCATATGCTGGGTATTCTATCAACAAACCGTGACGCGGTACAAGAACAAGAAGCTTCTGGCGGCGCAACAAGAGCAACAGCGCTTAGCTGCTAAAGAGGTGGAGACGCAGATGCAGCAGTTCATTGGGTCGAGCGTGAACAACGCGAATGTTCGCGCGCCACCAAGAGCGATGAGGCACCCTGCATACAGATGATCGTGATCTGGAAGGATTCAACATGAGTATCATCGAGGTGGTCGCAGGATGATAGGCATGATCACGTGCCGTCCATTCGTTTCGGCTCGGAGAGACCAGCAGTAAGTAGTCCATGGTATTATCACAATTCGCAACATTGTTAACTTACGACATTCTACCAGAACACTCTAAATAGCTGTTGTGAAAGCATCATGTCTCACGATCATTCACACGACATCGCCACTCGCTCTACAAAAGATCTTTCATATCTGCTTACAACCTTCCAACACCAAGCTCCATCTACATCGCATCTCACTATAGTCTCGAAGCCGGACTTCCAACATATCTTTCAATCCTAACAACACAACGCAACACCATGGCCCCACTAAACGTCCCCAGCGCCATCGCGCCCCTAGCCACATCCACCTACTCACCCCCCGCCATGCCGCTTGTCACCCAGCTTTCCGCACTGGCAACCATCGTCACCCCGACGAATCGCTACACACCCATGGCCTCTCCATCTTCCATTTCAGAAATTCTCCACGAGATCTCCAAAGCAGATATCGCTGCTGAGCCCACCTCAACTCTAGACCTCAAAGTCAAGTCCAGCAGTTCTGGAGCTGAAGGCGGTTTGTCGACTATAGCTGTAGTCGGCATTATCGGTGGTATTCTTGTGGGCATGCTTATTCTGGGGTTTGTTGTTGTGAAAATGTGCCATCATTAAGTGCGGATGATGGGGGGTTAGTTGTGTCACATATCGAAGTGCAGGGATGAGAAGGTAGATGTGATGGGTGTTTTCTTGGTTGTTAGATGATGGGATAGGTCTATCTAGTTAGATGTTTGGTAGATGGGAAGACGATTTCATGCCTTTATTATTCCCTGCTCTCGTGCTGTTTTTGTGTCAAGTTCATCTCTTTTGTGAAGACTAAGAATCGTGTAGTTGTCTCTCCTGGCGACACGCAGGATCAGCGTACCTCACGCACGCTGCCCATGTACCTCAGCGGCTACCTTCCCCGCCGCTGTCTCCTAGGCGTTTCTTCAGCTGCGCTCCAACCTTCCATCTCGATATCCAGATCGTCCAGCTCGGCCGCCAAGTCTTGTCGCGGCTTCTTCGCTTTTCTGACTGGTTGATCGCCGGGAGCATCGGAGTCGGATAGAAAGCTGTCTCTTCGTCGCTTTGTGTTGCGACTGACCGAACGGATAGATCGCTCTTTCTGGTGATATTTCGGGCTAGATGATGGGGACGACGTTGAAGATGCTAGGCAAGGTTAGAGAATGAGCGTGAGTGTGAAGCATAGTAACTCACTGCTATCCTCGTCGTCCGAGTCCACGATAAAACGTCGTTTTCGATGCGAGATTGGTGACTTGGAACTGCTAGTGCATATTGGGATCTTGCGCTTGAACGTGTTACCACTTGGGAGACCACGTTCCTTTGCCAGTGCGTTCCTATATGCATTCGTCAGATACTGTGTCTAGTCATTCCCACGCGTTCGACTTACTCCACGGCATATTCCACCATTTCGTATTCTACCTCCGGGCTGGGCTCTCCATCACTCAGCTCTACGATCGCTGGTATACGGATTCCACCTACTTTGCGATTGATAAGATCGAGTTGCGCCGCTGCAACCCGGAAAGCGGCATTGGATGGGCGGCATCGTTGCTTTGGAAGACGTTTTGGTTTCGTGTAAGAGAATTGGGGGTAGTCGACAGCCATTAGGAGAGCTTGAGGAGAGAGGAATGATAAGGTAGAGGATGGAGATATGGTGGATGGGAAGGATGGTATACTGTCAATCTCACTTCGAAGACCGAGGTGACTGAGAGCGCGCTACAACAGGTGAGAGAACATGGCGTTTATCTGAGTTGTTTGCGCTGAAGCTAATTTTGCTGTTTGTTGTCTTACCTGTGAGACTTCAATGTCTCAGCGCCCGTTTGAAAGGTGGCAGCAAGAGCGAGCAGGCATTGAATGGAGCAATCGCAGGACAAGGCGCTCATGCCATAAAGTGTGGTTGTATATCATGTAGCTACTAGATGGCTGCAATGCTTTAAAATGTGTATGACGATGCGCGGGAGCGTGCATGCATTTACTGAATAATGTAGCAACCCGGAATCAACCTGTCATTTCTCCCATATACACCCAAAGCCGGGTATTAATACCACTCGATTCACATGTTGCTAAATACAATCCAACCACTCTTTATATCTTTCAACCTCTAGCCCTTCTCCCCAACGGTCTGGCGTTGTATGCAAAGCGCGGCTGCATGTCTATATCCAGATCTAATGGATCCTCGCCATCCAATATCTCAACGTCGCTGTCTGCAGGTCTACTGCGTACCTCAACGCCAAGAAACTCATCGGAGCCATTAGAGATATCAGAATTGAGATCGTAATGGACAGTATTATCGGGAACGATGAACTCGCGATCGCTGCTGGTCTCTCGGGCGTGGGTAGGGTTCATTGAAGACGACTTCATTCGTTTGGCGCTCGTGTTTGAGCAGTGTTTTGCACCTGACTTTGCGCTTTTAGAAGGCTTTGGATGGTGGTATAGGCTCTTTGACTTTGTAGCCTTGTTCTTCGGCATGCACTGTGGTCTCGATGCGGTTGTAGCAGCTGACTCTGGCTGAGGTTCATCGTCGTCCCACTCGAAAGCGGGATCGTTTGGGTCTATCTTGACCATGACCTCCTCGCCGTCTGCATCAAAGCCTGGTTGATACTGTGCCGGTGGGGCTTCACTCATCCTGATGGCTTGTTTCTTTGCCAACGGTAAATCGCCTTCGCTGTCCATGATGAGGTGATAGAGATCCATAATGGGTAGCGCGGGTGCTACAGCCATTAGCTGAGCGACCTTACTTCTCAGACCGAAGTCGTCGATATCCATAAGACTCATGTTGATAGTCCCAGGCTTGCTCTCTTTCCGGCATCCATCGAGCGCGCGAGGTTGGCGTGCGCGTCGCGTGGCAGGCTTACGGATCGGTGACGCCTCTTCATCGCCATCAGAATCTCGTTGTAGTGTTTCTTGGGGTACAGCATGCGGTCGATCCTTTGCGGGCCCGCTATATGTTGGTGAGGAGCGTCGTAGGACGAAGCCTATGGGTGCATGCGACGTATTCGGTAATGCGCGCGGGCTCTCGCTCGTGCCATCGTAGCGGAAACCTCGCAGGTTGGGCTCGGCGAGTAATACATGTGTTCGACGAGGGTCAAAACTACCGATGTTAGCGTTGAACAGGCGTATTGTGAGAGCTATTTATCCTGACTTACCGCTGGGGAGTGCTTGTCGGCGCGTCATCATCGCTATCGAGCGTGATTGGCAAGTCCTGGGATGCGCCCACTCGGAAACCGGGACTAAACTTGGAGCCAGCTTTGGGAAGCTTGCGCACCGAAATTTGAGGTTTTCGCTTCGCCCGACCGCGCTTTTCTTTGCCTGTTGCCGGACCCATGTTGATTTTCTTGATATTGCACTGGAACCCCATATTATGCTCCTTTTGACGAGGATAGTCAGGCTTACGCTGTCGAATAGGTTGACGGGGGTTGGTTGTACGACCGAGCGAGGGGAGAGACTGGTGCGGATCAAACGGACTGAGCCTCGAGATCTCTAGCAGCGTTGCAGTGCGGTATTGCGGCAGTCCACATCGCACTGGCGTATCTTTACTCCCTCTGAAGACATTTCGGTGGTGACTGCTAAGACCATAAGGCAACAATATCGGAAAATAGGTATCCATGGCAACGGAAAGAGAGCGCAAGGACGAAACGAGTGCCCGGGAGGTGAAGGGGAGGTTCAGCAAGCGGTGTGGCGCCGTGAGCAGGTCGGTCAAACGGGCAGTATTCAGTCGCGAAAGAGTGAGAGGGCAGAGGCAGGTGCCATCGCGTGCTGAGCGCTGAGACAATTCTCGTTGGTGGGGTAGGCTCTGGACGAGGAAGGCACGACCTGATCAGCAGCCACATCGCCAAACGTAAAACACTGTATCTTGTCACTATCTGGAACTTGTTATATGAAAATCTCGGACAGGAGTCACATGAAAGATCGCTCGTCAGCCCGGATTTGAGAAGACTATAATGACTCTGGGGGAATTACTCTGTAGAATTTGCAGAGCGCACAGCCACTATGGCAACAATTAGGAAGAAGCCAGAGAAAGAACAAACTACTTCGAGATACAGGAAACAATGTGCTAAAGACCCGGGTGGGACGTTTTGGTAGGTTCAATCCAGGGACCTGCCGGACGAGACGCCATGGTTTCCGCACTGAATATCACCATTCTTGTAGCCCTAGGATGCAAAGGCATGGGCTGTTTCTCGCCTTGAGAAAACAATGGCGGCAAAGACTGGATCGTAGCTTCGATTTCTTCATGAGCTGACAGAAAGATCTTGGTGTGCCAGTGGTACTGGAAACCACCTGACCATAATATATCGTCTTTCCAAGATCGAATTGCAGAGACAAGACGGTGACTAGCCTTGCCGAAGGGTGAGGATTTATCCTTTCCACGGTTTGCGCCATTGTCTTCCACAATGTAAAACTCTGGGCTTCTCCATGCCACCAGCGGAGGATTTCTTGCCCACTGAAAACCATCAAACGGCCCTCTCAGATAGTGTACCTTCTCGCTAGGCATATTTAGCCACATCAAGCGCGATTCTCCGCATTTGCAGGAAGTCTCCGGTATCTCGTAGGGTTGTGGCTTCCCGCGTAGATAATCGTAAGCGCGTGCGTAATGAACCGTTACGCCATCTTCACTTTCTTCAACTGCATACTCGAAAACGTGAAAATTCTCCGCATCAAAGATACCCACGTAAACACACATCATGGATCGGGAAACGTTTGAGCCGGCACAAGGATGCGTGTGCTCTTTGTTTTGTGGAACTTCCACCTCAGCTTCGGCCCACACTGGCCTAGCTACGACCCCCGAGTGAGGGCGCTTAATGAGTAGCCGGAGGTCTTGGACTTTGCCATGTTCTTTCACCGTAGGTTGCGGCACTATGCAGTTCTGTTTGCAAGACGTTCGTCTGATTTCCAATGCCTGTATCAGACTTGCGCCGAATCGCATGATCTTGTCGAGGGGTTCCGCGTCCATGAACGATTCTAGGATTGTTTGAAAAAGCTTCGTGGGCTCAATCTCATAGTCAACTTCGATGTGAGGCTGCTGGTGTGCCAAAGACAAAAGTGCGAATACCCGATCGCGTTTGTCGCGACATCCACCACGGTAAAAGTAAGTGAGCAAGGATGGAAGCGATGCGCGAGTATCCCCAGGATGATGATTATGCGGGTCCAACCAGAGTAAATACTTGACGCACATGGGAACGGCTTCATGCAAGCCGGGTCGTTTCTCTTTCTCGGCCTTCCGCCAATTCCAATCAAAGGTATCCGTCATGGTCAACAGCTGGTCGCGGAGGTAGAACATATCGAAAAATCGTCTACCCGAAAATATAATGAGACTACTCTCACTAGACCGCGAGAGTATTTCCTGTGCAATCCAAACTCGATTCCAATATGGAAGTTTCAGGAATAGATTCACACGTTCCTGTAACTCTGCTTTGCGTGAAGCTTCCATGACCCCAATCTGCTGTTTCACTTGCGCAGAGATAATATCGTGTGACTTGTGTGGCCAGGAAGGGCTTTTTGAGCATAAATCTTCTGTGTTGGCGAGATCCTCGAAAAGCTGGACCAATCCTTCATTCAAGATGCCAGGCCAAATAATCACCTCTACGGCTGCGTTGTAGATAGCTCCCATCTGGCGGACCTGATGATTCTTCTCAAGGGCATCATGCTGGTTGATGCTAATGGCATCTATCCATAGTGACTCGTCAAATTTAGAAGGTTCGTCGAGGGACCGAGAGGCAACAGATGAGCGAAATGCGAGTAAGAACTGGTAAAGATTGTTCCCCACCGGTATAGAGCACCCGTTGACTTCGATCATATGCTCCGGGTTCGAAGGGTCCCACGTGTAAGAAAGGCATGTGTAGGTAGCTTCGGTGATTGTAGTGTTTCGCATGGTGCAACGGAGAACGCTTTGTCCGGGACCAGGGAGAACATCAATGACGCGTATCGAGTTCCCAGTGAAATCGAGCGGCTGATATACCATTCGGTCTGAGCTTTCCCGTGGGAACTGTGTTTCACTGGTCTTGTGTGGGTCGTCGACAATGATCGTGTCCACCGTGGCGCGCTGCCCAGAATCTTTCTGTATAGGCATGATGGGAGCCGATTCTCAAAGAAGTACTCCAGATCACCAGAATTGGCAGACATAAGCGTGTTCAAGGGCAGCGTTGTCTCTAGTGAAGGCAACGTGACTTAGGCTCACAAAATCTAGTAAGGCTGAGATTGAAGCGGGGTACTCACCGGAGTCCCTCAGCCACTTTACGAGGGTCGCCCAATCAAGCATACCTAGGTTCAAACAGTGCGATGCATGCCCAACAGACGATCACTGAGACTGACCGATCTTTGTCGGCACGTCTGTAATCGCAGACTAGCCCATTTGCGTCGCAGTTGGTAGTGATCCAACCCCCCTCTGATGAATATCAGCGCGATCTGGGTCTTGCCATTAAGAGCTCGATAATGCACACAGTAGAGCGCTGGCATCACACCCGTCGACTCTAGCGAGATCCGCATCATACGATTCTGTGCATGCATCTCCTACGCATCGCGATCACATGTAAAATGTCCAACACCTGCAACAGAGGAAAAACACCAATACGTCGGATGAAGTTCCTGAAGTTATTCTCTGCTTTCTCATCAGCAAATGGGTAGATCACAAGCATGAGCAGGTGACAACGTACCCAGGTACAATTCATGCGGTACTGTTCTTCTTCGTTTTCTGTTGTTGATTTGCCTGCGCAGATGTCGAAGAGGCAGTGGATGCTGGCTGATGCGACTGGGTTGGTGTAGGATATGTGAATCTTCCTTCGTTGCAGTCCTCATAAACATGGCAACAAGTGTTTCTCCAATGATTGAGGCAGGTTCCGCAGCTTTCATCCCTTGTGACACTGTTGTCGGCACCGCAACAGCAACATTGCCATCGATAAACAGGCGGACGGGCGGCTGCCATCGTTACGCTTCGTGGAATCGTGGTTTACATGAGGAAAGAGGATGAGACGTGACGAAGTCGAGTGTGTTACCCAGCCGGAACTCCGGTGAGCAACCCCGCCACCCCACCAGCACGGGCGTATGCCCTTCAGGTGGTAGGCCGCCAATCTGCAAATTGATAGGATGTCAGTCACGACCTCAACATACATGTTCAATGCTAGCAGATTTCATGTGTTATACCGTTCTCCACAATCTTCCTCTCTGGAATCACGTCCATGAATGTGCTGCACACAATCGAAAGGTTGAATGACGATGCATCGCGCTTTCTAGAAAGACAGCTGTCTCAGTGGAAATGCATCCAGGCAGTAAGGCACCATCTATATAGATGGTGAAATATTCAACAGTCTTTCGGGGCATGACACCACATGTGGCATCAAGGCAGGTAAGCACATCGAGAGAGGTGAAGTGCCTGGCAGTGGTGATGGATTGGTCTAAGGAATGATGGGTGGGGCCGGAGCTGAGTCAGCAATCGCGCGCCTCGGCTCACGCTATTGCGCCTCTAGAGTAAAGTCGCGCCCGCTGATCCTTGTAGCATTCTATCATCGCATCTCCTTGTATATCCACCGCAACTCCATCTCGCGCTCGATACCTACAATGTCCTGGATCCTACGTGCACCCTTCGATCTTGACACGACAAGCGATGGGACGCCGTTCAGCTGCAAAAACCGCGGAGGTAATACCAGCAGCCACAATGCTGCAGTCATGCAACACCCTATATCGTGCAGCTGCGCGTGTCCAGTAGTATCACGAGCAGAGCAAAGCTGTCTGGACCGGTCAACATACATGGATCGGGATGAGAAGATGGCTCTCACAAGCCAATCAAGCACACGAGGTGTGACAGGGCACGGCTGAGGTTTGGGGGCCGGCATGGTAATCCTGCTCTCAGGATATCCGCGATGGTAACAGCTCTGAAAGCGCCTATGCGACGATAAAACTGGTGCATGCCCTCCTCAGCCCTTGCGATGCACCTCCTCAAGACTTAGCGTCAACCTTCTCAAATTTTCGGATGATCCTTGTGTATACTACAGCATGAAATTCGGGCATAAGAAAGACGAGCCGGCCCCACCCGATCTGGTCTTTGATGAAGATGAGGATCTCAGCGAAGTTTGGCCACAAGTTGTGCGACAGTATGAGGATACCACCAAAAGGAAGCTGGATGCAAACACGACGTTCAACAGCTTCCAGCTACAAATTGACGCCGACATAAAAGAGTCGACGACGAAAAGCCATCAGAATGCCAGGATCGTTTTGAACAATATTGGGAACTGTCTTGAACAGTTTGGTTGCATAGTCGCACAAGTGGCGGGCGTGGTCTTCGGGCCTGCTGCGCAATGCTGGAATGCTATCAGTTTCGTCGTTCAAGCAGCTCGGAGCTTCAGCGGCATGATGGACGGGTTCGTTATTCTCATGGAACGCTCATCGGCTTTTATCCGTCGCCTGGTTAATTTCATGAAGCAGAAGATCGGCGAAGGCGGGTCCCACCTACCGCCTGTTCTTCGAAGGCCCGCATACAGCATCCTCTCTCAATTTCTGGGCATTCTTCGTTCTTCATACGAGCTAGCTACCAGCACGAAAGCGCGGTGGAAAACCATGGCTGGAATCGTTCTTTTCAATTCGAATGACATGGTGGCAGAATCGTTGAGAATGATGGAGGATCAAATCCAGGAGTTCACCAGAGCCGAGGTCGATGATATACTGTTGGACGTCAAAGGGCTTGCAAAGCACCTTGTCGCATCTGATAAGGAGAGAGCTCGCTATCATGATGAGATCAACGACCATCTTCATACGGTATACAAAGTCAGCGACCAGATCCTAAGTGTTACTCAGCAGATGAAGACGACTTTGGATGGTCGGGCTAGCAAGGATCAACAGGAAAGCAATCTGGGAAAGATCGCAAAGAATTTGGGTCTGAAGAAGGCTGGAGACTGGGAGACTTGGGATAAGCGACATAGCGAGCTCTGCAAGACGCATGTGCAAGGGACGGGAGAGTGGCTCAGTCGAGACGAACCCGCATTCGTGCAGTGGTCTGACCTGAATCGGCACGACAGAAAAGTTCTCTTCCTGAGAGCTGACTCCGGATTTGGCAAAACTCATCTCTTTAACCACGTCGTTTCTCACCTCGAAAAGAAATGTCGAACTGCGCGTGGACCCAACACGGCATTTCTCGCGTACTATTACTACGGAGACGACAAGGACGACTCCCTCGAACGATGTATTGGATCCATCATCTACCAATTCGCATCTGCAGATGTTGGATATGCTCAAGCCGTAGTAGAAGAATGTGCGCGACAATCAAACATTGCGCGGGCTAAAGATCGATGGAACGAGCTCGTTTTGGGATTGCAGCATGCCATGAAAGGGACATACTTCATATGCGTGGACGGCTTTGATAGTCGTAGCCAACTGGACAGTGTGGAAATCATGATGTCCGCTATCGCAGGCGAAGCTGCGTCTTCAGCTAAGCCAAATGGGGTCTCTCTGCGTCTCTTTGTATCCGGAAACGACGATGCGCTCTCTGAAGTTTCGCGAGGATCCAAAGTCGTCAACACTATTCTTCTTGGGAAACACAGAGTCTCTGCACAACCCACGCAACGAACTGGCACCAGTTCAGTTATCGTTTCGGACTCGCTGCCAAACGCGAGCGATTTGAGAGCTGTCACAAGAGCCAGGATTGAGGAGGTTTGCAAGAACAAACCCGGCCTGAAGGCTATCCTTGATGACTCGAACATCGAGCTTCTGCTCGAAGGCATCCGCGGAAACTACAGGAATCTGGAGGCCAAGATCACAGAGATCAACGCTTGCGACACGAAAGGGAAGGTCCAGGACGTTATCAGTAATACGGGCGCTGACATGAACACCGTCCAAAGAAACAGGATCAAGACTCTGGACGCTCTTCTGAATTCACGTCAGGCTCGGGTGCTCAATAGACTTCTTGTATGGGTTGCAGGATGCATCTACCCACCATCAATCGAGCTGCTCAAGAGCGTTCTCTTCTTTACCATTGGCGAGGAATTTCTCCTCGCCGATCAGATCACTACTACTTACTCCCCTGTGCTCATGATTGACGAGGAGAATAGAGTGAGATTCAAGGACGGACTCAGGGAGATCTTGTCGACGAGCGATTCCTCAGGGACCGAATCTGCACTCTCCCGGTTACGTGACGAAAAGATCAGTGAAGGCGAAGTCAGCCTTTGTCAGCGGTTTATAAAAAATGCATGTGCGACAATGGATTACGACAGATTCGGGTTCGATAATTTCTTTGAAGCCATGGCACAAAAGGTACATATTCACCTCGACGACGAAAACGCCCTGTGTGTTACCATCATCAACTTGTGCGTCGATGCTTTGCTCGACAGTCGGAAAGACAAAAACCTCGAAGTAATGCGCGAGTATGCTTCATTGTGGTTCTATGAGTATATCAAGACCCTGGTCAAGGTGCTCGATGACTTCGAGCCGGAAAGGGGGTTTATGGCCAGTATTGGAAGCAAGCTGATTGAGTTGCTTTACGATTCCAACATGATCGATACATGGTTCACCAAGAAGAATTTGGTATCGATGAAGTACGACTTCCTCTATCAGGACGAGTTCATTGACCCCTTGGTGACGCTGTTGAAGAATTCGCAAGTGGCCAAAGGCTATGCAAAAGACGCAGAGAAGAGTGAGTGGGTCAAGTCTGTAATTTCAGACGCTACGAGCAAATACTCCGTTCTCGAGCGCATCGCAGCGCGGCTAGCTACACTTTGGTTCAGCCGCTCAATTGGAACGGCAGACGAAGATTACCTTTGGATCTCGTGGGGCATTGTAGCTAAGGTAAGTATTTCTGAGCAATGGTAAAGCTTGGCTGACAACAAGAAAACAGATATCCAATCCAGACAGACCTTTTGAAGAATGGAATCCGCCTCCGAACGCAGACGTTGAGGAGTATATCGGCTGGGTAAAGGAGCACAAGAATGTCGACATCGACGGCTCCACCTGGGATTACCGTGTGGGAGCTACATACATCGTCTTCCAGCACTACAAGGAGGCCATTGTTGCATTGGAAAAGGCGGAGCAACACTGTTCGACAAATTGGGGTCTCTTTTACAATCTAGCAAGGGCCCATGAGAACCAAAGAGACCACCGTACGGCACTTGGATACATACAGAACTTCAAATCGCTCAGCGAGATGTTCCTTGAGACGGACGATTCGTACAAGGGGGCCTACTGGGATACGCTCAAGAGGGAAGGAGACTGTTTTCGGGAGTGTCATGACTATGACATGGCCGTGCAATCTTACCAAGAACTTCTGAGCCAGAATGATGGTGAAGCATCCGACATGAGCTGGCTCCACTTGGACGCTCTTTTGGGACTCTTTAAAATCTGGACCGATACTAAGAGCTCCCAAGCTATCGTTGATCTCGTTCGCGGCTGGAACGATGCGACAGCCAAGGGTCGTGGATCGACCTACTGGCTGCGAAGAGCATCACGCGAACATGCCCTCCATACATGCATCATTGTGGCTGCGAAGCAAGTCGGAGCCGCGGAAGAGATTATCTCTCTGTACCAGGAGGCCATCGATTACAAGCCGCTGGATAAACCTGCTGTCGAGGACGAGCCGGAGATGGACATTTCTGCTGAAGCAACCAAACAACTGCAGTACTTCCAAGCCGTCCTCATATTCCATGGAAGCAGGTCCGACAACGATCACCACCGGAGTATACAATGCTGGGAAGACATTGTCCTGCAATCTGACGAAAACCCGACGTCGTATACAACAGCGTGGCATGCGACCCGCAAGCTGGCTCCGACTCTCCTCGACAAGGCAGTTGCCGAACCCTTACCAGATCTTTCCAGCTCTTCCGAGGGTTATATCAGCCGATTAAAGAAGCTCGCCAACTTGAACACCACTGTAATCTGCAACCTCCATCAAGGTTATTTTGATCCTCGTCTCTGTTTAGCCAGGCTATACTGTGTAAAAGAAGACCATACTTCAGCTTCCACTCAGGCGCAAGCTCGGCTATGGAGTGTCTTCGACAAATGGCCTGAAGCCACAGACGATGCCTCACTCAACTTGCGCTTCTCGAACCTTGCCGCCACACTAACTGTCCTCGACAAGGACGCAGATGCTATTGCAGCGTGGCAAGCAATAGGGCCGTACCAACCATTGAACGCTGTGGCTGCGAGCGCAGACCTACCAGGTACTGAGGAGTTTGCGCAGTCAAACACCGAAGGAGCTCACACAGATAGTGCTCCCGTGGCATCTGACAAGAAGTCGGAAGACATTTCAAACGCAGCCACTTCGTCCACGGCTACAACCAAAGCATATGTCTTAGGATACATCTGCGACGGTTATTGCGGGGTTAAATGGACAGACATGGTAGCCGATTGTTGGGCATGTAAGCACTGTCTCTGCGTCCAGCTTTGCCCAGGGTGTTACAAAAAGCTTCTGGACGACGACCTACAGCCTCTCCTTTGTAACAAAGAGCACAAGATGCTATATATACCGCCCTTTGACTGGGAAGCATGGCGCACTATCCCCGCAGACATGATGACCGTAGACAAGAAGCTAGTGCGTCGCAAAGACTGGGTGGACAAGATTCGCAAAGGGTACAACGTGCAACAGGAAGAGATCGATTTCATCAAGATGGAGAAGGCTAGGAGACTAAAGGCTGCCAGCGTCATCGCCGTGCGATGGCGCAACAGGTTGCAGAGGTCAAGGGCCAGCAGGCCGGTAGCAGCGCCTGCGCTTCGTCGGGCCAAGACGGTGAGATAGGTAGCCGGTGCGACACCAGCTTGCGCTCGTTCGATACAAGATAGCACTACCCAAACAGAGAGTAGACTCGCAGCTAATCGATGCAATCAAAGATCAGTTCATGGCATTACCTGGATTACAACACTCATTGCACAGAGCACCGGTGCTCGTTTCTCTTCTTCTCCCTGAATCGCTCCAACTCCTCACGACCTCCCTGTGCCTCCCAGCCCTCCACCCATTTTATAAAGGTTGGGTGGTCAAATCTTCTCGCCTCAGCGAGTGCAGCATCCGGATCCGCGCCTCGGTCGAGTAGAAACCATGTCAGTTCCCGTGCATCCGTGTTTGGTCTGCCGACGCCAACGATGTATTCTAGTGGCGTCCCCATTTCTCCTTGCAACCATTTCGTGTCGCGCGGAAAGTCCAGCTTGTTCACATCCAAGCCCACGGTATCAACTAGATGGCGCACCATCGCCATACGTTGGACGTAACGCGCCCTGCTCCGCTGTTGCCATCCCTCGTCTTTTTCGGGGTCGTCTGACCCATCATGACCCAATGCCGCCATGAGCACCGCCCTATGTAGTGTACAGGGCCCCAAGGGAGCCCTTTTGGCACGTAAAAGCTCAAACGTTGCGATGTCGCCTGTCTCCGCGACCTTTTGCAGTATAGGCCTCTTGTACGGTGGTTCTCCGGGCGTAGCAAGTTTTGCGCCATGCTTTAAGCACCATACGAGCTTTTCGCGGTCATGGATACAAGACCACATGAAGGGACTCTGCCAAGATCGAGGTTCTCCAGCCCAGTTTATGTCCCAGCCATGAGCAAGCAAGAATTCCAGAGTTGCAATTTCAACCTCTTTACCAGATATGTCGATGTGCTTGATGCTGACGCCGTGCTTGATAAGATAGCGAAGAGCTGGTATCGAGTTCTGCTTTATCGCAATGGCTATGACTCGTGCATCGTCGCGTCTCTTCGCGTTGCCTTGGGCGTTAATCCTGACCTGCTCGAATAGCTCTAGTTCGTGATTGTGGATCGCGGTATCAAAAAGAGTCTTCACATCCTCTGCCTGATGCATCCTGGGATTGTGTCTCTGTAGCTGATGCCCTAGACTGGTGAGGCGTCAGGTACAAAAAAAATGGGCAAAAAGAGAACAGGTTGGCAAAAACATACAACAGCGGGGATTCGCTAGTGGTCACCCACCTAACTACTAATCCGCCGGTACAGTGCTTGTATATGGCTGAGCGGACGGGAAGCCTAATTTTCACTGTCCTATGGTCGTATGTACAAGTTGAAGCGTTTGAAATGTAAATAACCGCGTTGCAACGGGCTGAGTTCGACAGAAGGAAGGGTCGCAGAGAAGAACAATGGTCTAGGGTGTGTACTGGCTCGCGCCGGGTTGTGTCGCTGGTTTGGGGTAACTGGTGGCGTACTATTGCGGTGAGGGGCGCTTGAAGAGGGTATACTGCCGTCGTCATTTTGGGGTGTAGGTATGAGAGGGACGGACTAGCTATCGAAGAGAGCGACAGGGCTGACTAGATACTACATGTTAGCATGCATGATGCGAGACATGCCTCTAATGCGTCCAATCATCCCAAGAGCTTTATCGCTGCGAACGTTGCCGTTGCGCAGTCTTGCGCGCCGATGTGGGCTTCCCGACTATGTGAAAGTGCTGGGTAATGGCGTCTTGACAAGAGAAATGCCATCTGAGTATTGTGCAGGCAATGCTCATGGTGATCGCATGGTGTTGTGCTTAAACAGGGAGTGTGTCGTTGAGGAGAAGATCGCACTCGTGGGTGTCCTCGTACGGCGGCGCATGCCCGTGCCGCACGCGACAGGAGACACGTGCAAGACCCTGGAAATGACGATGATCACGTGTCGGCTTCGCGCGTCAATCACGCGTCTCAACTCGCCCCGAGGTCCGCTCTCAAGACGAGCTCCATACGCACACCAAATGTTACAGTCACGCTCCATGCTGCGAAACTAGGTGCTGCTTCGGGATGGAACACTTGACCTGAGCCGATTCAATTATTCGGCCATCCCGGGGTCTGTCGCTCTCGGCCATAAGTATGGCCTTGGACATGGGCGTAGCTGGAACCCCTTCACTCAAGGCATCCCGCCTACATCGCAAGCGCATGTCCAGTATACCATACTAAGCTACCTGACTGCATATTTCACACCGCGCACGAACGAGCCACTACCATGGCCGATCTCTCGAGAGAAGACCTGCCGCCTTCCGATAGCCCCCACCTCGTCATCCGGCACCCTACCGAAGAAGAGTGCACGACGATCTCGATCAATACCTCCATCGAGTGGAAAGACTCGCTTTCACTCGCACAATACTTGAAAGAAGGTCAATGGCTCGCCACGGTCCCTTTAGCCCGCGATGGAGGCATGACAACATGGATCTTGGTTCACCAGGATAAAGCTCCAGGCGAGCGTCAGATCCTATGCTCTTGCGAGAGTTTCTCCAAACGCTCACTCACGAGCGATATGAGCGGCGCTATCAGCGAGAACATTGTGCATGGCGTGGCCAGCGTCTTCTCCCCGAGCGAGTACCGCGGCCGAGGGTATGCGGCGCGCATGATGCGTGAGTTGGCGAGGACCTTGCATACGTGGCAAGCAGAAGGATGTCCATGTGTAGGAAGCACGCTGTATTCCGACATTGGGAAAGAGTTCTATGCGAAACTAGGCTGGCTCCCAAACTCCACCAATTCGCACATCGAGCTGCAACCCTGCGCCATCGCGTGGCCTTCGCCGGCTACACCAATTATCGAGGAAGAGATAGGAGATTTTTGCAAGCGGGACGAAGACTTGGCTCGGTCCCGCATGGCAATACCCACGCAAGAGGCGAAAACTCGTTTTACGATCATCCCAGATCTCGACCATATGCTCTGGCACATATCCAAAGAGGTGTTTGCGACGAAACACCTCTTTGACCGGATACCCAATGCGAAAGGAGCGATAGCTGGCCCGCCCGGCAGCCAAGTCTGGGCACTTTGGACGCATCGATACTACAGTCATCCTGACGCAAGCACGTCACGCAACGTGCTATACATACTTCGGCTAGTGGTTGAGGTCGATGAGACTGCGACAAGGCTATCTTCCGATGCAGCGAAACTGCCTGAGCCTGCCATGTACGAGCAGCAGGCAGTATACCTTCGGGCGGTTTTGCAGGCAGCCCAGGCCGAAGCCAAAGAATGGAAACTCGATGTCGTCAAGCTCTGGGATCCTACACCCTTGGTTCTAGACATGCTGGCTCAAAGTGGTCTAGATTTCGAGGTTGTAGAACGGAAGAACGACAGCATTGCTAGCCTTCTTTGGTACGATGCAGATGGTGGTGTCAGTGACGAGAGGCCAGTGTGGCTGAACAACGAGCACTACGCGTGGCAGTAGGAGTTGGAAGACCCGATGCCGATGACATTCGAGTCTTACGTGTAGTTTCGATCACACTGCACAACACAATTACAGATCCAAACCCCACCAAGGTCGGCGATCTCGCCGTCTCGGCTTTGACGTTATAGGACGAGCCGATAAACAGACAAGCCTGCCAATTTGATTGTTCTGAAGAGTAGGCTGATCTATCTGCGGAATGCGCACTAGACGGGTTACAATGGTCCTTTCTTCAATGTCAATGCACTGTCATCTAAGCTGTTCCATCAACCGGATGTCAAATCGTCTTGTAACGCCAGATCAAGTAGACTGCACGCTAGAGGGATGCATATCGCCCTCAGACCTACGGTGTAGTTCTGTCATAGGTGTACCTCCATTCTCTGTTGACTCGTGCCTTGATTCATTAGCTCTGTCGATTCCGAGAACTGCGGGCTTAGACGTATCGCTCAAATGATGCGCACGGAGGAAGAAATTGGCAATGAACGACAGGCCTGCGGCCACCACGAACTGCAGCTGTCAGCTGATGTGTCAGTGAAGAAACGGAAGATTGCGTACCATAAGCCAGACTGATCTCAAAGAGCGGTAGTATGCATCCTTTACGAGCAATTGCTGAGCATTGGGTAAAGTCGTGATCACCTCAACATTTGCTGACGCCTGGTCACCACTAAACATGTTCGCCAGGTCTTCACCAATCTTCTCTGCAAGGCCATGGCTAGCAGCACCCATCCGATTTTGGAACTAGATATGGGCGTAAGAAGTCAGTGTCTGTCTCACATGCAATTTTTAGATGGGCGTCACGTACGATCACGCCCCCAACAACAACCGCTACAGTCGTCGCCAGCGATCGCATGAAAGTCATAGTCGCTTGTATAACCGCCGTATCCACAACGGTCATTGCAGCTTGCGCAGCGATGAGTGGCGGTTCGATATTCATGCCCACTCCGATGCCTGTGACGACTTGGAAGATGATTAGCTTCGTCAGGCTCTCTCCAACCCGAACGCTAAGGAGAAGACCTGTACCAAGACATAGCAAAACATGTGCAACGTATGTGATCGGAAGATATGTTCCCGTCTTCTGGATATATGCGCCTGTGCCTGCGGCGGACAAAGAGCATGCCACAATGAGCGGTATGAGATGAACGCCAGAGACAAGAGCGTTGGCGCTTAACACGGATTGGGAGTATAGAGGCAAGTAATATGAAAGGCCGATCAGGATGTAGAAGTTACAAGCCCACACGAAGTATGCAGCGACTGTCGAACGCTTTGTGAAAAGACGCAGTGGAATGACGGGATTATTGGCGAACTTCCACTCATTCACGAGGAAGACGGCAATCGTCACGAGTCCAAAGACTATAAGGCATACGACTGTTGCTGAAGACCAGGGGAACGTGACGCTACCAAAATCCAGTCCGAGCAAGATCATCAATGCGGCACCAACGATCAGAATACTCCCCACCCAATCGATAGCCTTCAGACCCGCAAAAACAGGCGTTTGCGGCGAGGGCAGCTTCAAGAAGAAGATTAATACGACCAATACCACTGCTCCGATTGGCAAGTTGATCCAAAAGCACCATCGCCAGCTCGCCTTTGTCGTAAAGCTGCCTCCGATGACTGGGCCGATAGCGCTGCCCACCGCCCACACGAGGGACGTTAAGGCAAGATACAGCCCTCGATCGCGCAGGGAGAATGTGTCGCAAATGATGATGTTGACTGTTGTGCCCATTCCAGATGACCCAAGGCCCTGCAATGCACGGCCCGCAATAAGGGAATGCATGGACGGCGCAAGAGCGCAGAGTAGACTTCCCCCGAGGAATATGGCCAGCGCAATCAAGAGGATGGGCTTGCGACCCCATATGTCTGCTAATGAACCCCAGACTGGCGTACTAGCTGTACTAGCTAGGATGAATGCGCTGCCTATCCAGACATAGCCTGTGGTAGAGTGCAGGCGTTGCACTATGGTAGGTATGGCGGGTGTAATGATCGTGAGGTCGAGGGCGGATAGGAACACGGAGAGACAGAGTGGTAGCATGAGCAATGCGACGGCCGTTGCAGAGAGTTTCTTGGTAGAATTCGCGGAGTATGTAGCGATCGTAGGTGGTAGTGTCGTCGGCACGCTGCCCGGGAGTACGTCGCTTGTTGATGTCTCTGGGTTGCGGGTGGACTTGCTGTTTGCGAGCACCTCTCGAGGTAGATCCTTCGACGCCATCGCTGTCACATTATCGTTGCTATTCAACCTTCGGCATGGCGCTTCGAGAACAGTGCCTGGCGAAAGTACGCTCTCCACGGCCTCTGTCCTACTAAGTCCAGCAACGGGCGTCGGCATGGTCTCCTGATTCGAACGGCCAGTCAGCGCCGCTTCAGTACTCTGGCTGTTACTTTGCAGTGTCGCAGACGATTGTCTTGCGCATTTTCGTCGCAACATTGCTGTTGGCTGTTTAGAATGGGATTGCGATTGTTGCGAATGGCGTTCAACCGACAGCCAGAGCGCAAAGTCGTTTGGGGTGAGGGAGTGGCGCAGCGACATCTCCAAGGCTGGCTCGTTATCGTCAATTATGTGAAAAGGCTGGTGTTTATCTTGCGATGTCGTGCTCAAAATCCGGGGGAAAAAGATACTTTGCGCAAATTGCAGAGTGGTCTGCTTTTTCTTGAAGGTACCCAGGTAAGCCAACGAACTTTCGCGAGATGATTCGGATGTGGCAGGGATTTGGATCATGTGACTTCAAACTCGGCGTCCGTTCTCGATGACCAGTCTCTGAAAGAATAGAATGCGCCTTTGAACCAGTCTCTGTTCAGTGGAGTGTACTATGGTGTTTCTTCTGCCAATTCCCGCAAAGAACGTTCACGGCAATGTCAAGAATTACTAAGTACGCAAGAAAGTATGTGCTCCTCGAAGTTGAACTGACGATGAACTAGACGACATGGAGGATAAACATGGATACAACTACACCAATCGTTCACTCCCCTTGATACCCATCTGGATACTTGTCGAGGAGTCGCTGCATATCTACAACGGCCCTGACAGACGTTAGTGACTATGCGGTATTAGTAGACTGACAACTTACATCTTGCGGAAGTCGCTCTTCTCGGGATATAACGCGGAAGCGCACAAGTGTCCGCTTCTTCGCAGAGTCAGCAGTAAAAGGATGAACGGTAGAAACCTAACTTACATCGCATAGAGCACGTTTCGGTCTTCATAATCGCACTCTGGTGCTGATATAGGGAAGAACTTGTGATACTCCTGCATCCACTCTCGACCGAGCTTGTAACGAGGAGTGGCCATACTACCGACGTCATCTTTACAATCGTAACCACCACATCAGCCTCGATCCAAATATTCTCTTACGCTGTCACTTACACTCGTTGTGGCCCCAAAAGACCGCGGGGTCGAAGTAGACGGGCTCACCGGTAACCGCATTGGTAGCTATGTTGCCACACCAAATGTCGCCGTGAAGCGCAACCGGTCTCAGTTTGCGACGATGCGTGTTGAGAGGCCGAAGCAGTCGCGGAATGACCTTCTCTTTGAGACCAAGCACCAGCCTCTCGACCTCTTCGCTCGGGCCTTGTGATGCTAGCTCTTGGTCGACGAATGACTGGAAGCGCTGGCTATACAGTTCTTCCCATGTCTTTCTCCACTTTATGTCCTGGTACATGCTGCCTTCGTGCGTCATAAAGTCGTATCCGAATTCCCTGGGCGCCTTTGGGTCTACCATGCTGTCGTGATGCAGCTTAGCTAGCATGGCGGAGAATGCGCGGATATCAGGGAGGCCTGCGGTCATCTCCATGAACTCGGCTAGGTAGAAGTGCTTGTGGGGGTCTGACTTGTATGTTCCAAAAGCGATGGGGCAAGGTATGCCTTCTATGATGCGGTGTGCGCAGTCAGCTTCTTTCTGATATTGGTTAGGCAAGAGTACTTGCCAGGTGTATATGTATGCAATGTTTTGCATCCATAGTACTCTCCTCTCAGCATGCTCATGCCAAGTTCGCCACTGGCGGTCTTGAGAAAATATGTTTGCGGACTGCCATCGGCTAGTCGGACATCGATACGCGCGGTCTGCGTCCAGAAACTGGCACCGTGTAGTCTTGCTACAACTTCTCCGCATCTGTGGGGCAGTTCTTATTGATGGTTAGCCTCGACGCCACATTAGACTGCGTTCAAGAGCGGGCTCACTCTCAAGGATGGCTTCGTCCACTTCGATAGCTTGACCCGTTGTCTGCGTCGTTGGCTTAGGTATCCAAACAACTTCTGTCCTGTCTGGGGAATCTGTGGGTAGTGCTTCCTCAGCTTGGTGAGAAAGAGGCGTGAGCATGGTGGCACCAGTTTCCCAAGGCCGTCTGCTAGAAGAAGGGCATCGGGTCAGATTGATCAGGTGTATCAAAGACGTGAAAGCGAATATACTAGACTACAGTCACCAGTCACAGCGTAGTAGTGGGGTAGTAATTCATACACACGAGCGACAAGTCTGACGTAGTTAAAGCACGGTCACCAACATCCCCACTGTCCACATTCCGTGCTCTGCTGCCCCGCAGCCGCTGAGTCTGCTTTCCACAGGTTCATCAAGGGCGCTCCTTCTTCATCTCGATATAGAGTAAGAGTACATAGTATCGGGCGACCAGTAAGCGCAAAAGACGAGCTCGAAGCTCCCGTGTGTGTATTGGCTAATCCTGGGGTTCGTCCTCATCCCATCCATCACCTGATCGATTGCCATCCAGGTAGTCCATGAGATTCTCTTTGCTACCCGCGATATCCAACGGCAGGCCTCCATCTCTAAAATGATTGACCTGCTCCCAAACCAGGTAAGCCTTGCACCGTACACGCAAGTGCAACGCCTGACCTCTATGGTTCAGGGCAATCAGCAGTACCCATCCCTCCTCGCATGCCTCGCGGTCCGCGACTACGACAAGTAAGCTTTGTGCCAATTCTGTGTGATCGTCCTCCTCCATTATCTCACGCTCACTACTTCCTTCCATCACATCGGGACATCGCATTAGGGCGCCTAAGATGAAGGAGGGTATATCATCCATCAGCTCCACTTCATCGTCTGCGTCCCGTGCTTCCACTCCATACGCGGCACCGTTGTCATCGAAGATGAAAGGCCCAAACATGTCCGCATCGAATTTGTAATGGAGCTGATAAGGATGCAAGGCTTTCCGCCATAGTCGAGAGTATGCTTCGTCGGCACTCGCACGTGTGACAATGTCTTTGCCCGATCCTTCCCCCAGAGATGCTTCAATGCCATACCATGTTCGAATCCATATAACACCAGCAGCACGATTCCACTCGCCTGAATCTGTCACTTTACGGCGCTTCTCGAAGACTGACAGATTTGACGGAATGTGTTGAGGAAGAGGTACATCGTCGCATCGCTCGCGGTAAAGCTGATCAAGACGCGCGTTAGTAAATAAAATTCTGACGTGCCCACAAAGTGGGAGAGGTATCCTACCGAACGGCCACGCTCACCGAGGTGGATCCAGGCTTTGATAAGGTTCCGTTCTTGCTCGTCTTGGTGTAGAGATGATTCTGGATCCCATTTTTCCTTTTGCTCTTGATCAGTCGCATTCGATAGAGCTTGCTCATGCTCGCTGTGTTGACTAAAAGGCGTAGAGTGCAATCCGACGTACTAGAAGGAAATGATCACAAGGTTCCCAGCCGAACGAGGGTTCTAATGACCGCGAACTGGCCATTGAGTTCGATGCCGTCGAGTTGGAATAGAGCGCATATGGCTGTGATGTGATAAGACATGAACAGGCAGCAGTCTCGGCTGCTGTTCTTGGCGTATGCAGTGTCTCTCTCATTGGCTCAGATGATCCTTCGAAGATCGCGAGCCGATCTTAACAGTATTGAAGTTACTTCGCTATCCTGTTCCTGGGGTCTGTGACAAGGTCTGTGACGAGATACTTGATCGGAGGCCGCGGCAACAAGTACATTGCAAGCTTTCGCCTTTTGGAAATCCCATCAGGCGACCGCTTCGCCGAAGGATTTGCGCGTGGCATTGCTTTCCTCCAGATTCGCTTGAGTGAAAGGGTGTTCTGAGAAGAGGTAGGGTCGACGATCGCGTCGAACGATGTTTTGTCTCTGATCATGGGTGGCATGGTGTGATAGGATGCGATTGACGTGTACGTTGTTGGGGCGGAAATGTAGAGTTAAAAATGAAATATCTCTAGACTGCTAGAAATATATGATGTTGATGTTTAGGACGTGGAGCGATGAACCACGGGTCAGTCTTGCAGAGGATGAGGGGCTGTAGCATCTGTGCCGAGGGAACCAATGAGTCGATTTGTATATGTACTCTCCGGATTGTTTACCGATATGTAAAAGCCAAATTGCAGGCTCAGATTAGCAGAACTTTGCCGTTGCCGGAAACAGCGGTTCTTCGGCAAGGAGAGCATCCCCTGTTTAACGACACTGCTTTAGTCTAGGGAGCTATGGTAAATAGGCAACGTCACATGTGCTTAGCGCGGCGATGTCGAGAGTACGCGGAATGAGCTTCCGCACAGCCATCGTGCGCAATGACAAGACTTGATATCACCACGATGCGGTGTTGAGGAAGCAGATTCCAGATGTTGAGTTGATGTTTGTTAGATGCAGGCCCGGAGTGACGGCGATGATCTGGGCCCAGGCAATGCGGAAGCTACCCCGGGCGGGCCAACGACGTCAGGGCAGGAGCCACCCAGCCATCCTTGATGTCTCCACTCCAGCACGTCTACACGGACGGTACACCTCACCACGACACCTCACAGCCCTCACCGCATCGCGACACGTACTATTCCCCATATAAGCCATCGCGCATCCATGAGCGCTATCTCCGCGCTGCATGTGGCAGACTCTGCGACAATACCATCGTGATTTTGCCATCCCGGGTTCCAAACGGTCACGCATGGCTTCTGGCAGCATTGGCGACGTGCCTGCCGCGACTTTTGCTGAGTACGTAGACGATCCTTTCTTCGACCACGGTGACGAGGCGGGTGCATCGCAATCGCAGACATCGCGGGAAAAGGAGGATGACTTCATGGAGAATGCGCCGCCTGCCGATGCACCGCAATTGGCGCTGGCGCAAAGACCCGAAGCGCCGTCGCGATGCATCGCAGTGCGCCCGGCTCTCACCCACCGTCTCTACTCTCATCGCCTCCATGTGCGGGCCAAAGCTAAGCTGCAACGCGATAGACTTCTCTCCGGCCCTATGATCGACGTCTACGTAGGCGAGTCCAAGCGCCACTGGTCGCTGCATCGCAATCTGCTATGCCACCACTCCGAAACCCTCGAGAACGAGCTGCTAGGCGATGCCGACGGCCACACTAGGAAAGATCGCCTCGATCTTCCCGATTACAACCCTGCCGGCTTCGAGCTGCTGGTAAAGTGGCTATACCAGGGCAGCCTCGACGATGTCTCTGACATGGCCGACGCCTACCAGAAGTATGAGTATGCTGTGAGCTGTCACAGACTCTATCTGCTGTGCGATCGCTTTGACATGCTTCAACTGAAGAACGTCGCGATGGATCAGTACAGAAAAGGCCTAAATGAGGCCGAGCTAGTACCTGACGCTGACGAGATTGATGACATCTATCGCAAGAGTCCGACAGGGTCGCCCTTCCGCACGCTCATGACGCGCATCGCGGCCCGCCAGATTATGGATCCTGGTAGCGAGCGCGACGTCGAAACCTATCGCGAGTGCTTCGAAAACAATCCCGACTTCGCCATCGACCTGGTCAAGGCAATCAGATCAGGCACTGGCGGCATGTTGTTCGACGATCCAACGGATGAGGGTCATGAGTGCGACTACCATGACCACGAAGCTGGCCCGAACTGCCACACAAAGGGCAAGGGCAAAGGGAAGCAAGGTGTGTAACTCCGCCCTCTCCCAAGCCCACTCTCAGCACCCTATCAGCCATCTCATTGCTGTCAAAAACGCGTAATAACGTCCATTAACCAGCAAAGAAGAAAGCCGGCCTGACATCCGCCAAATCAGTCCCCTACATAAGCTCCGACCAGCACAACCGCCCTCCCCGCCCTCCTCCCCCGAAGACGCCTCGCCCGCCTCATCCCCTGCAAGCTCGCCCACAAGAGGGAAGCGCCGGTCCTCTCCGCCGTCGCCTGACAAGTCCGGCGAGCTCGACGGTTGGCACATCGACGGAGATGGCAGTCGCCAGTCAAGCACCCAATCTCGACGTGATTCGCGAGAGGGAGAAGGACAGGGAAAAGCTGCGCAAAGTGACGCCGCCGGAGAGAAGACGCCTGGAGCGAGCTCAAAGCAGTGGAACGGAGATACAGAGGTCACGTCCAGTCCTCGAAGAGCGCCGCCGAAGCTCAGACGACGCGTCTCACCCACAGCAGAATAGCCAGCTTGAAGACGATACATTGAGGGAGCTAGAGGGAGGACCGGTGCAGCCACCACAGCGATCACCGACCCGTCGAGGCATCTGGGAATGGGCGAAACTAGGGACAGGCAGGCTGAATGTCATCGGACGCATACCACATCCCGAATGGAAGGGCCCGACAGTGTCGCACGAAGCTGTCGCGAATGGCAATTCGCGAATAACTACCATTCATGAGACCCATGATGATTTCAGCATCCCCTCCACAACGGCTACCGAGACGAACAATCTGCAAGAATACAACCAAGCAATGGCAGCTAAGCTCGAAGGCTTTGGCTTCCCACACGCTCACGTCATCACGTCGCCACACTTCTCGCAGACAAAACGCTCTTCCGATGACCTCGTTGCTGCATCATCTACAGCAAGCACGCCAGCGAATCTGAATCTTGTTCTAGAGGGTGGGACAAATGGCGAGCGCGTAACACCTCAGGCCTCGAAAGACAGCCCACCATTGACGCCGGACACCCCGACACCGCATCAGCGTAGAAAAGACTCGACGATCGAGACGGAGAGCACACCGACGAAGGTCACCCCCGACAGTGCGAAGGCAGAGATCATTGATCCGCCCCAGAATGGCGTCAAGAAGACCTCTACTCCTACTCCTACTTCTGACCGCATCCCCAAGTATCGGATTGCGCTTTCTTCGAATTTCCTTTCGCCAGCCCGCAGCAGTCCGAGTTCGGCATCTTAAGTTTTTACGATCAAAATCGATACCCTGTACGTACATATAATTTAACGACTAGCGAATCTTGTAATGCATTTCAAATATTCACGAAAACGCGCAAAAACACCCATTGGCTGTGGAATACGACACCATCACAACACTTGACATGTGCCAATAGATTCATCTCAACACAACTTTCCCGCTCCACTCAAACGCCCTATGACTTGACTTAAGTTGGACACGGAGCTTGAACACATTGCATTGTCTCTTTGGTATGTAACAAGCGCAACCATGGTGAACAGATGCTCCCGCAGCCTTACAAAAGGCCTGAAGAGCAGTAGGGAAGTAACGGCGATGCGGCTCATGCAGGTGATGGGCTACACCGTTTGGGGCGCGTTCACCGAGCACTGCCCCGCGCCAGCCTCGTAAACGCGATGCGCATGGTTGTTGTTGTGGGACCTGCAGCCTACCTTCATTCTATCACGATCATCACAGCTACCTCCAAAGCCTTCGGCAGCAAGTGATCTTCGAACCCTATTGCCCCAGCTGTCGCCAATTTCTTCCGTCTGGTTGCGATCTACTCATAGCACCTTTAACCGTCGTCATCATTGTCGCGAGGCTGAAGCTCGGCGTGTACGGCAGCCCATCAGTGCAGAGCCATGCTCTCCCGACTACATCGCCGTGGCCTTGAGATAGCTGGAAGGGAAACGGAGACCGAGTCGCAAACGTGCGCTTACGAGGCCCTGGAAACGCATCACAGTATACGGCTTTTGAACATCATACCAGTCAAAGCGAATACGGTCGGGGAGCCGAGATGGCGATACAAGCTAATCACTACGAATACCCAGGACGCCCCAGCTTACGAAACTTTGTCATATGTCTGGGGAACGTCAAGCCGTAACGAATCGCTCGAATTGTCGAACGGCACATCACTTCGAACTACCAAAACCCTGGAACAAGCTCTGCCGCACATTGCCAATCAATGTTCCACGGGCTATCTCTGGATTGATCAAATATGCATCAATCAAGATGACCTTTCCGAACGAGCCCAACAGGTCTCAATCATGGGGGATGTATACTCCAAATGCAAACGCGTTTTGGTATGGCTTGGACCAATAGCTTCACTAAAAGCTGGCATTGCAGCGCAATGTTCATCTTTGGACCACGTCGTTTCACCTTCGGAGTCTTCAGATTGCAAAGATAACGTCATACCAGCCCGCGGTGGATATTACCCATCATGTCAACAGTGCCAATACAAGATTATCGACAGCATGACCTGCTGCAAGCCTCAACAAAAGAGGCTTCTAGCTCTTTGTCACGAGATAATTGAAAACCCCTGGTTCTCGCGAGCTTGGGTATTCCAGGAAGTGGTTCTACCGCAAAAGTCGGCATTCATTTTACAGTGCTCCAAAAGTTCTTCCAGACCAGACATAACGGCCGCACTACCTACTCTCTACACATTGTGTAAGGTTGCATGGAGGTGTTGGAACCCCACAGTGGTACGATTCTCTTTGCAGAAACGGGAAGACCTGTCCACGACCTCTCGTTACGGCGTGCTGAAAGAGATGTATGATCGCTGGACAGAGAGACATACACCCTCAGGCACGGACCCCATGCCACTGGACCAGGTGCTGTCTACCCTCAGCGCTGGAGCAAGAACATCCACAGCTCAGGATCAACTCTATGCGTTCTTCGGCTTGAATCAAAATGAGCAAATATTCCTGAAACCGTCTTATCAGGCTCCATTACAGGACGCTTTAGTTGCCACCGCACGCTCCATCATCAAAGGCACCAAGAGCCTGGACATTTTCGAGACCATACCAAGGAAGACAACTTTGAAAGCTCCGCGCTCTTGGGTTCCAGATTTTACCTCACCACGTCTGGTGGTACCTTTTCTACCGTCACCTGCGTGCATATGGAGCTCGAATACATGCCCCGAGATATACTCATGGAACGGAAGGTGTGACTGGTATACTCTTTGGGCCCACGGCAGGGCCGTCGCTGTTGTTGATCTATGCGTCGACCACCAAGTCACAACCTCAAAAGAAGACACGAATCGCGTCTATACTCCCTTACTGCTAAAGGTAATACAAGCCTGGACGACTTCTCGTCATTACGATCCAGACGTTCCTTTGCCAGTGCTGGAGTCCATATTACCAGCACTTCTCGCTGAAGGCCACTGCGAGCCTTCGACTTACGATGCAGAGGACACAGCACGGTTCGCCAACCGTGTGAGAAATCAATATCGTGACTTTTCGATGCGCCAGCTCCCAGGGCCTGCACGAATGAACGCCGAGGATACTCGGATACATTATCGCGACGCAACGAATCGCAGCCTGGCGGAATACATTGACACCGTCATGAACGGTCGGCAGTTGTGGATCACACAAGGCGGACGTCTCGCGACAGGAAGTCGGCTTCAAAAGGGCGACGAAATCTGCATTCTTCATGGCTGTTCACATCCAGTAGCACTTCGGCGCGTACCCAAGAAAGACGCATACACGGTTGTCAGCACTTGCTATCTGGAAGACTGGATGGATCCGTGGGGTAGAGGGAAGGTGGACTGGAGAGAAGACGAAGCCCACGAATTTGCATTGATCTGATGCACGCCGCTTGGGTGTTCAAACGAACGCTCTTTTTGGCGACCCCTACATACTCTTGCTGTTACCTACTCAAGTTACACTATCTTGCGGTATGTGGCCCTACTTCGAATCACTACTGGAGGAGAGTGGTAAATCACGTGAAGCTGGGTGAATGTGCCAACTTTAGAAGATAATTGGTGGTAGTAACGCGTGGAAGGAAAGCGTGTGTTTGTAGGAAGGAGCGATTGGCGGTGGCTGACCTTATAGCCGCGCCAATGTGGATGACTTACTCATATGCACAGAAGTTATTTCAGCACGATTTCTAGACGCGTGTCTTGAATTCGATGAATTGGCTTGGTGATGCCTTCCGTGTAACATGGTGCTGCGTGGTGAGTCGGGCCTTCTCCGTCGACTAGCTTCTAGCGCGTCATGGCGCACGTGCAGACGCGTCACGGAATTACCAACCACCTCATTCATCCAATCGCATACTACCAAATGACAGCACCACGCCATTTGCATCCAATTTACCTCAGTCGCGGCCTATTCTTGCTCGCCTCCAATTCCACCCCCACTTCCTGAGCACTGCGGCTGCACACATGCCGAGTACGCCATCGACGAGCCCAATCGAGGTGAATATCCAGCCATCTCCTACGGCATCTCTGAGTGGCTGGAGTATCGCGATTGCGACGGCCGACAGTGTACACCGGACGATGTTGTTCGAGGCCGCGGCAGTACCAGCTTTGTCCGGAAAGATGTCAACCATCAGACCGCTGTACAGCTGCAGTACGACGGTACATCTAGCACCTATGAAGAATTGCAAGATGAGTGGTATGCTGGTATGAACACCACGCTCAACTGCCCAGCCATATCCAATGAGAGTGCCGATGGAAAGCATATGCAACGTATACGAGCCACGGGAACGAGCGACCTCAATGGGGAAATTTCGAATATCGTCCCCAGCGACACGGTCTACGGGAAGACCACACGATTCGGCCGTCTTCTTGTAGTTGAAGTCCATGAGACGGCCTGCAATGAAGCCGCCCGCGATGACTCCTGCGCCTCCGGTTAAGAAGCATAAACTGACAGCCAAAGGGTTGTAGCCGTATCCCTGACCGTAGACCAGTGGTATGGAGGCTTGGATGCAGTACCACACAGCGTATGGGGAGCCTGCTGACCAGAGTGTGAGGAACGTGTCAGCGTAAAAAATGAGACGCACAGAGGAGAAAGGATTTGGAAAGCCCCATACGCCTTTACCACGCTTTTCTGAGTCTACGTTCCTGGAGATCTCAGGGTCGATTTGTCTTTCCCGTCTTCCGCTGGACCTGATGACAGACCACCATGTTTTCCACAAGGCGCGAGGAGAAACCTCTCCGTTGCCGACGATGTTTCTTCCGGTTTCGGGCATAGTCCATCCGATCAGCATCAAAGAAGATGCGCCAAAGATGACGAGCGTCCAGAAAGCCCACTGCGTCTGTCCCGTAGCTAATACGATACCGCCACCGATGACAGGCCCGAAACATGGCCCGAAGTTCGTAGCTGCGAGCATTGGTCCAAGGATTTTGCCACGCTCAGCAGGTAAAGAGATATCGGCCACGACCGCGTAAGCTAGCGACATCACAGCCGAACCTCCAATGCTCTGCAAGGACCGAAGGACTAATAGTGCGGCGTAGCTGTTCTCATTGAAAGCCAGGCCCAGGCTTGCTGCGAGATATATCACAAAAGTCACCAAGAAGACTGGGCGGCGACCAAGTGTATCCGACAATGGGCCGAAGAAAGCTGGCGAAATTGCCTGGAAGACGAGATAGACCGTGATGGTCAAATCGATTGCAAGTATAGACGTATTGTACTGCTTGCTTAGGCTCTCAATCAGCGGCAGGTAGATCGTAGCCGTCAAAGATGAAGCGAGCGTCAAGTAGCCGAGGAGGTAGGTGAAGTAAGTGCGCTGACGGCTAGTGAAGACGGTGAACGGTGGCGGTGATACTGCATCCGTTTCGCACATCTCGACGCGTGTTTTCGCTGTCGTTATTGCTAAGAATCAAGGTCGGGAAGTGGTGGTGTGTTCGGTTAGAGTGCCATATCGCTAGGCTCATGCACTCAAGTGGCACTGTGATAAGCAAGGGTCAAGTTCGCTGTTGGATGTTACACCAACGATGACTCCCGTATTGGCACTCGCCACATCTTGTACACTTGAACTATCGGTTTCCGCATCGTTTTGCTGCTGGATATCACCGGTTTTGCATGCGCATTGTTGCTCGGGTGATGGCTGATACAGAGGTCGTGCGCATCAAGACCGTCGTGCCCCGCACGGTGATCTCATACGTTGATCCCCGCGTCGCAGCATGTGAGTTGACTTGGCGTTTGAACTCTTTGGCGTTGCTAACACGAGTATCAGTGCTTCCTACTGGGTCTAAGATCGAAAGAATCTCACCTCATGGCTTCTCCAATTGGAACCAAACTGCTCGAATCCACACGCTGAACACAATCGGCGAAGCAGTGTCATACTTTCTGGAGGTCGGTGACCTATTGCATGGTAATTCTTGTTAAGCCTAACCGCCATCCAGGTCTCTTGTGGCGATGTTGGTAAGGGTATGATGCTTGGGGAGTTTACTTCAATGTCAGCCCTTTACGAAAACATGCCAGATCTCGTCCCGCAGCCGATTGGTTGGGGTACCTACGCAAAAGATGCTAAGACTTACTTCTTCATATGCGCATTCCGCGAGATGACTGGAGAAGTACCTGGCGAGGCATCCACCGCAGTCGACCACAGTGAAGAATCTCACAATAGATCAAGTAAAGAGCTTCAACGCATTAGCGACTTCACTGGCCAGATAGCCCGCCTACACAAAACCGCGCTTTCCCCAACAGGAAGATTCGGCTTTCCCGTCATGACATACGGGGGAAGACTTCCTCAAGACACCACCTTTTGCGATACTTGGGAAGAGAGCTTTACACGTGGCATACAGCGGATGTTCCATCTCGAAGAATTACAGCATGGCCATGACAAAGACATGATGCAGCTGCGCGCATTGATCGTGGAAAAAGCGATACCGCGATTGTTGCGGCCTCTAGAGACCGAAGGAAGGAGTATTCTAGCATGCTTGGTGCATGGCGATTTGTGGGATGGCAATACTGGAGTTGACGAAGAGACGCGAGAGCCAGTGATTTTCGATGCGTGCTCGTCATACGCGCATCACGAGTGTAAGCAGCACGATTCTGCGGTTTGATAGCCACTGACCGTAGCCACGGGAATTTAGATGAGCTAGCTCCATGGCGACTCAAGCGCCACAAGATCAGCGGAGCATACATAGCCGAATATCTCAAGCACTACCCAGCTTCGGAGCCCAAGGAGGACTTTGAAGACAGGAACGCTTTGTATTGCATGTAAGCCTTGTTGAAGTAGCATACTTTGTTCAGTCGAGCTCAGCTGACGTCTTTATAGAAGGTTCAATCTCTGCTCGTCGGCACTATACCCAGGAGAGCTCAAGTACCGTGAATTGTAAGACTCCCTCATACAGTTTAGAGAGACTTTACTAAGCTACCGCAGCGTCAAGAATGAGATGAAGGCGCTCTTGGTGAGTCTGTTCGGCGATCTCGAACATGCGGAGGTGTGACAGGATACTACAGTCACGGGATGGAGTGATCGACCGAGCAAGTTGTGATGATGTTTTGTTCTACTGAGATACCGAAATATTACATCGTCAAATCTTGGAAATAAAAGAGACGCGAAGTGAGCGCGTAGCCTCGTGGGGCGTTCAGTTAAGACATCGGCCGCCAGCGACCGGAGAAACAGGTAACGTGGATACGGGAGCTAATAAAAAATCGATGACAGAAGCGACAGAAGAGTGCTCGGTGCGCAAGAATATCCCTCAAGATCAAACAGCCACTTAATAGTTAACCTCTGACTCGCAATCGCCGCCACTACCGATCTCAAGACCATCACCAGCGGAAGAGTACAAAGCATCGGTAACGGTTTGCTTGTATGGCAAGCGAAGACCCAGATCCAAGAACAAACTCGCATACCACTCGTGCCCATCCAAAGCTTCGTACTTGAAATCCCATTGACTCATATCGATACCTTTGCTGTCGCCAAGGGAGTTTTCGTATCTCAGTTCGCTGTATACGGCTTGTTGGGCTGCGAAGGCACTGCGCAGCTTTTCGCCATAGTCGTTCCTGAGCCATCCCGCCCCCCAGATAGATGCGGTGCACTTCTCTTTGTTTTGGCAATTCTCAATCTTACACCATGCTTTCGGTGTGGAAGGCCGCTGGCCCGTGGGTGAGATGGTAAATCTCCAGCCGTTGATCTCGAACTCTCCACCAGCTTGCCAGCCCACTGGGTTTTTCGATTTGTCGTTATTGCACTCGTCTAATATCTTGTGAAGATTTGTCTTGCACTCCTCCACGGTAGGTACAGGTCCCGCGTTGAGTCTGCTGGTGATGCCGATTTCGACTGCCTCGGGGGTACTTGGGAAATAATGCCCTGTACCGATAGAGCCAGTAGCGCCTTCCAGCTTGGGACAATAGGTGTTGTCGATAAGGTCGAGGAGCGCGTCTTTCGCAACGTACTTGTTCTCCAGGTCATTGCAGGAGAGCTCGGATGTAAATGCGGGACTGTTGAACGCCAAGTACGCAGCGAAGAACGCTTCTCGGTATGCCTCGTGACCTTGTATCGTTGGATGAAATGTTCGCAAGAGCCAAACTGGGTAGTCCAAGACATCCGGTTCGTATTCTTCGTTGGTTGCGACGTTGTTAGGCTGCTCATGCAAATCGATAGTTGTTCCTTGGGGTATAGAGTTTGCGATCAGGCATGTGTAGTACTGTCCAGCATCCCCGCTTGCATCCAAGATAGCTTGGCAATCTCCAGAAGGTGTACTATCGCTAACATTGAAGGTGGCTCCGTCGGGTGCACTAAATTCCAGCGGAAAGAACCATATATTCTTGTTCCGGTAACTTGGTTCAAGAACGCCTTCCTCGCAGAAGCGATGGCCTTCGAAATACGGGTCTGTATCTACGAAAGTGATTGAGCCGGACTGTGGGGGGTTGTCGTTTACGAAAGCCTTGATCTTGTTGTTGAGTCTGATTGTAAGCTCGTTCATCTTTCTACGGCGGTCTTTGGTTATTGGGAGTACCCCGTTATTGGTGCAGAATAACTTGAAGCTCGTGGTGTCGCATTGATCAGTGAGCTCATTGAAGAACCGAGGATATCCTGTTATGAACAGATTGGTGTTTGGGGCGTTCTGGAAAATGGCATTTATCGTCAGCTTGTATCTGTCTGCGAAGGCACCCCGGTCGATGTTGGAACCAAGTTGACTCATTGCTTCGTCGCAGTCAATCGAACAGTCAAGATCACCACCACGACACCCCTCACAACCTCTTGTGTGAAATCCATAGATGCACTGTCTGTGTCAGCGAGTGATCTATAGGATAAAGTAATGCCAATTTTCACTCACACGATCAAGCAAGTCGCTAAAACCAACGTCGTTGCCACCAATCGACATGGTGACAGGATTCGGTTGTGATGCTGCTAGCACTTGTGCTTGCGGATGGGGTTTCGGTGGGAATGACTCAGATCCATCTCTTTTGAGGAGCTGCCCTTCTTCGTAGATGTTTCTCGTCACAGCGCCGGAACAGGCCTCGAATTGGAATATGTCGATATGATCTCTTTCGCCTCTCAGTCGTACGTCCTCGGCTACTCGTATTCCCCAGGATCGATGAGATCGATGACAGATGTCATCGAAATACTTCTTACCAGCTCCTGGTCCCGCTGCGAAGGAATCTCCGAGATGTGCATACCGGTCCACTCGGAAAGTATCCCGTGGGATAACCCTAGACAATGACAGGGCTGCAGAAAGACCTCTGCCCACCATTGCTGTGACAATCAATAGCTGAAGGAACATGTTGCGATGTCGATTGATGTTATGGCAATGCTTGTAGTAGAATGATAGAGAATGAGAGTGCGTGCAATGGAAAGACTCGACAGTCCGACTTCTTAAGTACACCATCGTATCTCAGAAGGACACATTCGCAAGACATACATCTTCTCAGCAGATCTGTAGGAGTATGGCGTAGTTCGAGTAAGAGGCCGACCTCTTGCTTGAGTGATGCATCATCTGAGACAAAGACTGACATCGCCACGCCGCGCAATGAGGTATGTCGGGTAGTACTGTCTGGATGCGTTAATTGAAACGACCTGATATGCGGACATCAGGCGTGCAGAAGTTTTCAAACAGATTATCTTCTGCTTGCGTCTTATATGATTGCGTCAGTGGAGTTTTGTCGAGTGGACTTCCCTCCCAACCTATCAATCGTAACGTGAATTGGTTTACTTTGCTCAAGAGTACTGTCGTATATGCTTCCTCAAGGCTAATTCTGCTTCGTTCACAAAAGCCATCATGTAGCGATGATACTGCATTAGTCATAATTTGGACACAGCGTCATCGACCAGGTAGCAATTTTTGACCCCCAGGCTGGTATGTATGAGAGTGGCGTATGGGGGACCAGTACATCCTCATCGCTTCGTCGTCTGGACTTAGTTCACTGTGCTAGGGTGCAAAAGCAAGCACCGGGTTCTGTGTGCGAATCGCCTCAATCTGGGGCAGGTCAGACTCGAGCTACTGGAAGGTTTTCGCGTCGGCACATTCGTCATCATGGGTGTGGTTCACACTCATGAAGCCTCTCCGTCTTACAACATATCTACAGTGCCGCATAGCGACTAGCATGCTGGGGGTAATTCTTGTGGTCGTTCACGATACTGCGCGGACAAAAAGATTCGTGATTACGCGTAGATACGGGTGCCCGTTGAACCAATGGGTACATTCATCGTTATGTTACATACCGCGTCTGTCATTTATTTCTCGGGGTCTCTCTGAAGTGACTGCCCAGGTGTGTCGTGAAGGATGGGCCCCTAAGAGTGAGAGTATCCGGTGCTGGGACTGGGTTCACGCCACGGAATAACTGACGTACGTGGCCGTAGAACAGTACCAACCTTGAAAGGGTCTTCGTCAGTACAGGATTCTCTAAAAACGCTGGGGGCTATCGAAAACAAGGTGTCAACTGCTAATCATGATGCAGGTACCTGGGTAGGTTTCGCATTGGGGCGGGAAGCTCTAGGCAGCCGCCACGCCACAACCGCGCTCTGAATGTGTCTCAGTGCACCCACACAACTGTGGTGTGTTCCGCGCCGCAAAACGAAAAGCGATCGAGAAATCAAGACGAGATCGGTGCGCAGCTCACACTCTGCATCACCAAGCTGCCAGCCGTCCATGGGTCCCTGATGATCGAGCGTGCAGCGCAACATAAGCCCGCCCCCGCTATTCATATATCGCGCTCATCCGGCAGCACAGCGCCACATAGGCGCATCTGCGTTGCAAGAAGGTCTTCCTTAATACCCGGTCATTGCTGTCACCCTTGGAGTGCAACAAAAACAATCCCACAGAGAAAATGCGTCTTATCATCGCACCCGTCTTGTTCTCGATCATCGCTGTCTGCATGCAGACTGTAATATCTCCCGACAGGACAGCATCGAATTCAGTGACGGTCGGCTTTTCCCTGACCGTAGACCGTGCTGTTGTCTCTGTTCGTTACAGCAATCTCTTGATGGAAGATATAGTAGAGTTGAATGCATACGAAGAGTATGTGGAACTCATGCGAAACTTCTCTGATCCGTCGTCTGAACACCCAAGGTACGGCGAACACCATAAACACCTCTTTGAGCAGACACTCATGGTTCACCAGCCCCCCGTATCATTCTCTTAAGGACCTATTCGATGACTGGCCCCGACAAGAGAAGCGAACCGCGCGGAAAGAAAAGGGTCTCCCAGCATCACCAGAAGTAGCAATCATCGCGAAGGTCCTCGGGGAAGTTGTTGAGGTAGCCAAGACGTATGTTGACTCACCAATCTCGGCCCTGATTAGCTTTCCCGCACTGCCAGGCCTCTATCAGGAAGACATCAGGGACGCAGCGGACTATGTCGGCCTCGCGAAGTTGGGTCCGTGGCTAGAGGCATCACATCCACACGAGGACGTCGCCACATACGCAGGAAACGGTCTAGGTCTCTGTAAAGAGTACCACAACGAAGAGAAATGCCGTGAAGAGGGGAAAATTTTCACTTCTCGCCATACGCTACTGGTAGAGCACACTGAGTCCGCACTTCTTCTACACCATAACATCCTTCGCGAACCGATCGAGACATCATACCTATATATGGATCTTGCAACCTCTTTCGACTTAGGCAGTGCTCATGAGCCCGACGAACTGGACATACAAGATTTTGTCCTAAGTTTCTTGTACCACCAGTATTACTACCCGACGCCTCATCTTCCCGACTCAATTACTGTGATGATGACGGGTAGTCCCGAAAGTCTCAACGATGGGAAGGCTCGGAGGGTGACAAAGCGCGTCATCGAGGCACTCGGCGCAAAAGCTGAGATGTTAGAAGAGAACCCTAGCTTCAAAGCTGCAAGAGGCGCAGCTGAGCTGGCATGGCGAGCGGTGAAGTTCAGTGAAGGGATGCAATCGTGAGATTAGACACCGCTGGAAGAGCCGCTGCAGGCCTTCTTACCATTTCGCTCTCACTTGGATTGGGGTAGACTTCAATGAACTGTGCAATCGTATACACGTACTCATACGTTTCGGCATACATAAAATACATTGTTTTGGTGACCGTGTCTGTGCAGAGATGTGCCCACAACCGTGGTCCGAAAGAGCAACGTATGATCGCAATGCTGGCGGATTTCTATGAGACATTGTATGTGCTGCATGCAGCTGTATATAACACACCAATCATGGGCCTGATCGTGAGAGACCCGTCTAGCCACACAGTCTGCAGATTCTAGCGAGACAGGTGGTGGAAGCGAAATGACTTGGCAACATATCACGACTTTTGCATGTCTCATGTTGTAGGAAGCAGCAAGCTAGTGAGGGGCGAAAATTTAGCGGCGACGATCTTTGAAGTGAAGAATATTGTACGTGACGCTATGTAGGGGCTGACTTCCTACAGGCAGGCACCTAGGTCATGACGCTTTCAAGATCTATCAAAACTCGGGGTAGATGGAGATGTCAGCCAAGTTCGGCGGAAAATGGGGCTACGACTTGGGGCTATATTGTGGCACAGAAACCTGACTTTGTAATGCTTTCAATTGAAACATGGAACGTACCCAATCGTTTGCAGAAGGTACCATGTCCAAGACGTTGCCAACATATCGTGTCGCATGAGTATGGCGAGCATTCCACAACGGGCACGGAGGAAGTTCATCGCTCTTGTATGTTCTATTGGGGCCAATGACGTGAAACATGTTTGTCCAAATCGTATTTTACATAGTCTCTGGAATCTGAAACGGTGAAAGATCAAGATCTGTCGGTCCACCCAAGATCAATTGACTCATCAACTTCCCTGTGCCCGGTCCAAGTGTCAAGCCCCAAGAGCCATGCCCCCAGCACAAAAACACATTTCCACGTCTTTTCTCTGCATAAATGCCGTTATGATGCGAGAGCTTGTCGGGTTCAACCATGGCCATCATCGGGCGCCCCGAGCGCGTAACAGGTCGAAATGCCCGCCCAAGCGCAACGACCTCTAGCTCCCTGAACGCGTCCGGATCATCTGCGTTGTGAACGCGAAGAAAACGGTATGCGCGACCTGTGAGTTCCGCAATCATTGCAGCATCTGGTAGACCTCTCGAACCTAATGGATGTAGCGTGCCCTTCTGATCTTTCGCTCCGCAAACCCAGATCGTGCCGTCGTTGCGACCTGCGAACTCCAATTTCTCTCCCACGATGTCGTTTAGGCCAACGAAAGCCACTGATTTCTTCGCAACAGGATTGGGGTTTCGGAAGATGATCCAATCGCCTGCCTCTGTGGCTGAGTCGATCTGGATTGAGGAGGAGGGAAAGAGCGTTTTGTAAATCATTGGAGTCCATGGACCCCCGGCTATAACGAAGTTGTCGCATTGAATTCTAAGTGAGGATGAGTCTTCTCGAACAGTGACTACTGCAGTGGCTCGGTTTCCTTGGTCCAAGTCGACGGCAGTGACCCTAGTAGAGGTCTCAATGCGAACATTCATATCAATACATGCTCTTTCAAGCCATCTGCCGAGGCCGACTGGGTTACTGCAACGAATATCATCAGCATAAGAAGGTGATGCATGTACAACATGCTTACACCATTAGGTTGTCTGCACCTAAGAACTCGGTGTCCACCCCCCACGCATGGCTTGTTCGAAGCCAATCTGGCAAAAACTCCCGATCATCTCCATGATTCTTGGTCAAACCGAGGATGGAATTGAAGCGGAGTCCAGCAGTATCACACAGGTCGTTGCTCTCTGCCAAATCACGCCAGGCTGCAAAGCTGTACTTGCCAAAGTCATCCATGATCTCGTCGTTGAATTTGTAGTGGATGCATCCTGTACAGGTCCCGGATGTCTCTCCGAATGCGCTCGCTGATGCTTCTATGACGATGATGGTATTGCTGCTCGAGAGGCCGGCTCGGGAATGTGCGTGTGCGAGATGATAGGCAGTCCACAAACCAATGGATCCCGCGCCTACGATGACGGTGGTCTTGTTCTCCGCGGACATATCGTCAGCCTCGCTGGAGGTGAACAAGGGTGTTGAGACTATGCTCGATCTTTCAGAAATGTCTCCGCCGGTGGGATCAAGGGCGGCGTCGATGCACTCTGCTGGCCCCTGGGTCTTGAGATCAGTGCACGTGGACAGACAATGGGTAGCTTGGAGAACTAAGCGATGGGAAAGCTGAGAGGTCGACAAAGGTCGTTATTCAGGTCGAGAATTGGGAAGGGATTGAATGAGAAGATAGAGTCTTGAACATGCAGTGTGCAAGGGTAAAGTAGTCGTTTGCTCGATAGCTCCAAAGGGGTTACCCTCAGCATATCCGCGTCGCCGGATCATGATTATAATCAAACGCCTTCAGCAGCGCCACCAAATGCAGCGCCGCACCCCCCACAGCACAAAGATGAAAGATCTGATGTGAGCAACCCCAGATATCGAAAAGGCCCGGGCGAAATCTCTCCGGGAAGCGGATCTGTGCAAATTGTCAGTAATGTTCACTCGAACCGAATGTGTTCCAGAAAGACTTACCGCATAGATAAACGCCCCCGTGATATAAAACAGTCCCTCAAAAATCATCAACCGCCATCCCATCTGCCTATCCGCCTGCTCCTTGCCAAACGCCTGAGCCGCATGCGTCATCGGCACCGCACCCGACCAGCCAATCGCACAAAACAGCGTTGCCCTCGCCCACCTCCATTTCGGCGTGCGGAACCGCGGTATCGAACAAAGCGTTGCCGCACCCGTGACAATCGAAGTAATCCCAGCCGAATACAACACCCAGTATTGTTTCTGGCAATAGAATCCATAATACGTCCCCGAATACACCGTGCCTACGATCAACACGAAGATGCCATATAGGTCCAATTGCAACCATGTATGATATACTTTGCTCGAGTGGTTCCCAAACATGTGGAATGTAGCACTAACGCCGAAACACACGACCGCACTACCAACGAAAACCCCAAAAGCCAGTAAATCGTTTATATCAGCAGTTTCGTAACGGCTGCTAATATTGCTGTAAGCGTAGATAGCGTAGAAGAGGATGAAGACGGCGCCGATGAGATGCGTGTAAATATTTCCAGTCTGGTTGTGCAGATACGACAAGCTCTTAAGACATTCGCGGTAGGAATTGGTGGTGCAACGATAATGGTTCTTGAGGTACTCGTTGTCGCGTTGCCAAGGGTGGACTTCTTGGAAGGTGTAGAGTGTGCGGCTTGGCGGGGGCGCGGAGGCGGAGCGTTTGGTTGGGGTGTTTGTTGTGAGGGGGGTTAGGTAGGTTGTTGACATTTTGGCGGCGGGTTGAGGTGTCGTTGGAGGGTTTCCTTCCTGGAGTCCACCGGGTTGATTCAAGGAGATAGAAAGAAAGAAGACAAGAAAGGCGTAAATGAGGAACCGTCAACGAGGGCGATGCGCATCCTTGTACTCCAGTGTCCACCTCTTGCGTCTGCTCGCAATTAAAGCAAAGACCTCAGTCAACACCTGTCGTTCGGTCAAATCAAATAATCCACAAAGTCGCTATCGTGTGAAGTCCCCAAACAGAAACAGCGACTCCCACGGTACTTAAAGGGACACCTGTGGCTCGGGCCCATCCAGACCCCCTTGACAGGTACATAAGCCTTGTGGCAGTGCAACCGCACCGGGCGGAACGGCATAATGAACCACCAAGCGTGCCCTCAAAGGAGCAAGAGAGAACCTGGAACCGGGAAAGCGGGTACCTACGTAGCAGATAACACATGTGTGTGGGCTAGATCAAAAGGGGGTACACGTGGGAGATGCCGAGGCGCGTTTGATTGGTGGAGCCACGCGTCCTGTCAGCACCGACAATGGGCACCAGCCAGCAACTTCATTTCAGAAGAGAACAAGCAAATGATAATTTCTCAACAGTGTGCAATAAAAGGATTCGAGAACATTGAGGATGAGCATATTCGTGCATAAACGTAGACATGACATTTTGTTGTAAAGGAGGGGTATATAACCAGAGTATCTCATCGCATCGCCTAGTGTCGTATATCGTATATCGTATCTTATCGCGTAACATTCCGTAATATGTACTCGAACAAGAAGAAGAGGAGCAGGAGAGCGACGTTACACTCTCAATCAGAGTGCCAGTCACTCGCCTGGCTCTCTCCAAACTCGCTCCTATAGCGCCTACACAACCAAAAAGTCAACACACCAGCACTCGAACAAAATAGAAACAGCGGCAACAGAAAGAGCACTGGTGACAGCGAGACACAAAGCAAATCGCACTTACTCATCCCTTCCGCCCCCGTTTTCGCTGTTCTCGCCTTGCATGCCCAGTTTGCTTGCGTCCAATTTTGCTAGGCCGCTCTCGCCGAGTGTGTCTCCGCCCCAGCCTTCCTTCTTGCCCTCGATGAGCATCTTCATCATGTCCTTCAGTTCGCTGACTTCTTTCCTCAGCTGCCTGACTTCCAACACCGCAGTGTCGAACTCGACATTGGGACGCGAGGCCTGAACCTTCTTGTCCCAGCCGTCGGCTTCAAAGTCACAGCCATCAAGGATTTGTTCCCACTCCATGGTTGTGTCTTCGTCGTCTTCGCCGCGGCGGCGGTTGTCTCGGACGACCCAGGCTTCTTGTTGTTCGAACATGGCGGTGATGACGAGGAGGGGTGAGTAGATTACTGCCATGACCTGTGTGGTGTTAGCTTTCTGTGCAACCAAAACCAACTTGAGATTGCGATATGGAATATGCTGTGATCAGTACTAGGTGATAATTGTCTCATGGCCGAAGCTCTGAAGTAGCAAATACATAGAAATCATCATATAAACAGCGGAGGGGAGGGTGCAAGGGAAAATCACTTACCATATCGTTGAGCTTGTCGTAGCGCTTCTCGTCCATCCACCACTCGAATGGAAGAATCAAGAAGAACATCTCGATGAGGTTGAACGGAGCGATGAAGACGTTCTCGTCGGGAGCGCGAACGAACTGCATCGTCTTCTGCGAGAAGAGAGCCATGTACTCGTCGATAGCGTTCTGTGTGATGTCTTCGTAGGCCGAGTTGTAGAGAGCGATGAGGACGTTGAGCAGGATGACCATGACGACAAAGGTAAAGATGTAGTAGAGGATGATGCCGAAAGGAGGCTGTTACTTGTTAGCTCGTGTCTGACTTTGGTTTCATACAATGTGACATACCGAGAAGTTGTCGAAGCCTTCAAACTCAGGCGATTGCATGACGGCGTTCAACATGGCTTGGAACACGAAGACAGTGTCGTTAGCAAGCTGATCGTCCGCGATGTCCAGACCAATGAAGGCCTGGAAGAAACCAATCATGACAACGAGTAGTAGCATAAAGAAAATGAGCGACTCGCGCATCATGACCTTGAGTACAACGAGCATGGCACCGAAGAAGCGGAAGGTGTCGAGGTACAGCAGCAGACGCATCCAGAACATGGGCGCAGTGAAAGCCAAGAAGTCGTAGCTCATCTTGTTCAGGTACTGGCGTCGAGTGTCCTTCTCGTCACTGATGGGGTGCCCAAGAGCTACCATGCGCAAGACGAAGCTGACGGTAAGAAGCGAGTACAAGGTACTGTTGAACATGTTCCAGAAGGAGATATAGAACCGTCCGACCTTCCAGAACTTGTTCGCCTCGTCGCAGATGAAGCCCAAAGTGAAGAGGTACAGCAGACCTTCGACGACATCCAGGTCACCAGAGGGATTGATGGTGTTGATAGCACCGGTGTAGAGACCCAAGAAGATGATGGACACGGCAATCTGCACCCAGTTCTGGTACTTGGGGACGCGCATGCGATCGGGGTCGAGATGGGCCCAGTAGCTGGTGTTGGTCTTGTTCTCGTATGTGACGAAGCGACTGGGGTCCTCGTCGTCCTGGACGACCCAGCCGCGCCACAGGTAGTTGATGCACTTTTGGTAGCCGGATGATCCGATGACCGTTACGGCGTGGAGGTCGACGGCCTTTTCAACGGCATTGGCGGGTGTGGTTGGCTCTCCATCGATGAGTGTCGAGTAGCGCTTGAGCAGCACCTCTTCAAACAGGTATGTGGTATCCTCCTCGGCCTCAATCAGGCGCTTGGCCATGATCTCTGCCGCCACGGCGCGGACTTCGTGGAGGTCGGCATCCCACAGCTCTGCGGTAGCTTGTTTCTTAAACCACTTCTTCACCTGCAACAGGCAGAAAACTACACAGGCATTGTGTTCGGGAGCTCCTGCTTGCTTAGCCGTCTCAAGCACCTTGTCGGTGATGATGCTGCTATGCGCCTTGGTGATCTGCTCCTCTTCGAGTTCGCACGGTACGACTTGCTCGATCTGGTGCTTCAATCGCAGAGCTACAATGGTAACGTCTTTGGGATCGATAGGCGGAGGAGGAAGGTGTTCGCGACGCGACGTGGGAAGGACTGCGAGGTGTTAGTACTGGCATTGATAGGAATGAGATAAGAGGACGTACGCGCGCTCATCTCATCCTGCACTCTGTGTCGCCTATCGCCATCTCCACTGAATAGCTCGTTCCACCGCACCATGATTGCGGCGTTGCTGTAAGCGCTATGTCTCGTGCAGGTCAGTCAAGCTTCACGCGAGCTATGTCGAGCTCTGGAAGTGCCCAGCAGCAAAGTACCGAGGTAGCGTCAGGCTTGGAAAAGCAAAACTGCGCAACACAACAAGACGCACACTGAGCAGAGTATCTCAGCAAAGAAGGAGCTGCGGTGACAGCGCGACAACAAAGCAGCAGGACCCACGATATACCGGGTTCTCGAGGCTAGTGCTGGCTAAAACCTGGCTGACAACGCTGGGCGCGCTCCACCAGTCCAGCCAGCGTCATCCCGCTCCACCCTGCGAATGGCCCAAGCTCTCTCCTGCTGCCGAATTAATCCCCAGCAGTTGCATGCGAGACCACGATTGAGACATGGGGCTTGAGTGCATATTCATCGTTGATTTGCTGCTGAATCCGCTTGTTCTAACACTCCCTCTATGCGCAAACGCATATATGCATGTGGCTGAAGACAAGGTGCTGTACATGTCGAGACGCCTTTGCATGCATGCTCGTGAACCACCATATCGACGCCTCAAACGCCCATGCCCACTTTTTGCAGATACCCTTGGTCTTCATTATCATCGTTGCTCGTATGCAAGCATTCTCCCAGCCGCTTAATCGGCCTCAGCAACACCGCCCTCATCGCTCGTGCTCTCGTCCTCGTCACCGCTGACTTCCTGGTTCTCACGCTCACGCTTCTCCATGAGCGCAGCCAGCTCGGCGTCGTCATTCTCGGTTACGGCCTTGGGTGCCATCTTGACCTGGCAGTCGCCTCCGGCCTTTGAAATGTTCTCCTTGATGTCGACGATGGCTTGTTCGAGGCATGCGATACCGGCGCTCTTGTCAAGACATTGCGAGGTGAGGACTGCAGGAGTTAGTTGAGAATGGGGATATGTATGTGGCGCGATCACGTACCGTAAAGAGGCGGCGATACAAGCTTGACCTTGACTTGGTTCTCGGGGGTGTTCTTGGCCTCGGCGCATCGCAGGGCGGTTTTGACGGCATCGATACCCTCGTATCCGAAGCAGGTAACTGTAAACGTTAGCAAAGACGCCCACATTATTTGAGCTCCTCCAACGTACCCTCAATGTCTGATCGGACCTTGGTCGGCTGGGGTGTCAACCGCTTGCCAATATAGCTCTGCAACTCCTCCTTGACAACGTCGTTGGGGAATGTGACATCGTTCCAGACCTCGGGGTTCGTAATGCTGAGCTTGAAGGCATCGATCGAGTGTCCGTACTTCTTGTTCAGCGGCCAGCCGATGGTCTGGTAGATCTCCTCGATGGGTGTTTGCGTCTTCTCGGCGACGTGGCGCATGATGCTGTGCACCATCTTTGACTTGTTGTATCGCTCCTCGCACTTTACAATGTCCTCAGGCGACACTCGGCGCTTCGACAGATCAATGTAACCCTTGTCCTTGTCTACACGGAGTACGACGACGACTTCGTTGCGGCCAACTCGGATGAGCTTCTGAATGGATCGAATACGTCTTCGCGAGAGTTCGGAAAGCAGAATCATGCCGTCGATGTTGTCTGAATGGTTAGCCTTGCTGCCCATGCCTTTGCTACATCCTCAACCCACCATATTCCAGCAGCTTGACGTATGCGCCCATCTCGGCGATCTGCTTCACGTTGACCATGACGAAGCTCTCCACCTCCGGGTACTTCTCCTCGTAGAATCGGCAATTCGTTAGAGACATGGTGAATATGTGCTCCTGCTCTTCTCCTGTGTGGTGTTGGGTAACGTCGCTCGACTGTCGCAGGTGGGGTCGCTTGTAGGATTGTTCTTTCCTTTTGGGGTAGAGTTTCCAGAGGTCAGGTGTAGTGGTGAGCGAGAAGAAGTTCTTGCTACGCAGAGTGGATAAGCGTCGGTATGCTGGGCTTGGGCCGAGTGAAAGCGTGAAAGTAGTTTGGCTCGTAGTGACTCAAAGATTTGCCCACTCACTGTGTGAGATCGCCCGCCGCCGTGGGGCAACGCACGCCATTCCCCTTTCGGCAACGCGCCATCCCTGTTCCGCCTGTCGCGACCGACCTCACCACATTCACACATCCACGATTGCAGCGCGAGAACGTCTTTTGTCGATTGTCTGCCTTACTGAGAGAGAGTTTTCATAACGTTGAGAAAACATGTAGAATGAAAAGAAACAGGAAGTACGATACAGAAAACTACAGAAACCGGTTCACAGAAAGTTATGGAGTCGGGAACCATGCAAAGGCGTCCGCGCCAGTGCATTACAACCTTGCTGGAACGTAAGAGAACAATAAGTCAGACAAGTCACATAAAAAGGCAAGATTTAGGTCATGAAGTTCATTACCGAGAAACACGTAGTTCCCCGTCATCTAAATTCCAAAGACGGAACATGTACATCAATCGTTCATCATCAATCCCACCGATTCCCAGTCCGAAAACTCCAAACCCCAATCAGTGAAACGATCAAACGCTTAGGCGCCAAAGAGAGCCATCAAGACACCACCAGCCAGAAGGGCAGCGCCCACGTTGCTAGCATCAGCGGCGTCAGTGAAGGGAGGAAGGACAGGCTTCGACATGGAAGCACTAGGACGACCAGTTCCGGTCGCGGTCGCAGTCATGGTGGTGTTGAAAGTGGGGAATGAGTGCGAGGGCGTGGAGAAGCCAGAGGGCACGTGACGGGAGTGCTCAGAGGGCTTGACCGGCGTTCCAGTGATGATGGACACACTGAAGTCGGGGGTAGCAACGCTGGATGAGGGCAAGTCGACGGTCTCGGTCACCGACTTGGTGGAAGTCAAGCTCTTGGTCAGAGTGGGAGGCTGTTCACGTGTGTTAGATCGCTGTTGGGTGATGGACGGAACTAGAGGGCGGGTACTTACAGTGGCAAAGCTCGGGGGCGTCTTGCAGCCAGTGATGGTCGTGGTGTGAGTGCCGCCATGGGTGACAGTGTGGATATCGCTGATGCAAGACTCAGACGGGAGAGGCTTCTCAGTCATTGAGGACAATGACGAAGGGATAGACGTCTGGATAGTCATGTCCTTGGTAGAAGAAGACTCGGTCAGCGTCTTAACTCCGGTACCGCTAACAACAGGAGGCGCAGTGACCGTGACAGTGCTAGGAGGCCCGGACGCGGTAACAGTCAAAGTGTTGCAGTGAGTGCTAGACGAAGTCGGGACCGGGTCGACGAAGGTGACTGAAGTCACGAGCTGGACGGACGTGACGACAGAGCCGACGTTCGAAGAGAAGTCGGTGCTCGAGAGAGCGACGTTGAAGAGCGCGGTGGCCGCGAGAAAGTTCTTGAAGATAGCCATTGCAAAGTTTGGTATTTGTTGTTAGGTGTAAGTGAGTGTGGGTAAGAAGTTCGAAGGGATTGCTTGAAGAGCTTCGAAAGGGCGGTGGAGTAGAGATTGAGTTGCTTTAAACGAGTGTAGAGTAGAAGCGATGGGTTAAGAGAAGGTGAGGGCGGGGTATCGCTCTATTTATCTATGGAGTCGGGCGTTTGTTTGTGCGGGGAGTGGGCCGAGCGTGTTTTGATAGCGCCAAGGCTGCAGTGCGGGTGAGGCGATTAGGCAGAGGCAACGCGTCCGCTGTCCTTGAGTGTGAATGTGAAAGCGTTCGCGTGGGAGCTTACCCATCGCGTTGGCGTAGCGAGACCACGCGACCGGGGGGTGGCGTCAGTGTAGGTGATATAGTGCTAATAAAAAATGAAGAACCGCCATATGTCAGAAGAGTGTGGCAAAATAGGTACTTTGGACACTTCGATTGTATTACATTATGAGCACCTATGTATATAGCTCAAACGCTGTGGTCAATTGTCAACAGCAAGCATGCGACCATGTACCTGTCCAGACCCTCCACCGCCGTGCTGAGTCCTAAACGCTGAAGACTCAGTACACCTGTCGAGAGCAATAATCCATATATATAATACAGACCTCCATAAGCACGTTGACCATCCTCCTCTTATGTATTAGTATTACTCCGACAAGCGTTCCCATTCGCCATCCCATTCTCGCCACTCTCCTCGAGTCTGAAGTCCGCGTTGTCGCCCTGGATTCGCTCGATCTCGTTCTGTATTGCAAGTACCCAATGGTCTCGCTCTGCACGCGACCGCGCCCTAAAGACCACGCTACGGCCTTTACTTCCAAGCTTAGCTACCCTCTTGAGCTTCGTGCGCTTGCCCTCTTTGCGGACTTGTTCCCCGCCGCCTGCACCCTCCTCAGCGCGGAACCAGCTCTTTGCTTTGCCATGCCAGATAACAAACGTGGTCATGACGTCCTCGTCCGTCGATGTCCAACCGTCTTCGAGGTAGATTCGTGGGAGGGCGTGGTGTCCTGGTTTGTTCGCATCGAAAGTTTGATTCTGATAGAGAAGGTCGTTCTCTGTAAGGAGGCCAGAGTAGACGTAGCAGTCCTTGAGATCGAGATTCGCGATGCGCTCGTGGTGGATGTGCGCCAGTTGTTTGCCGACCCTACTTCGCAAGACATCGCGGAAGATGAGCAGTGTGCCGGCAGTCAGCAGAACACTACATCGTGTGAAGGGCGCATGTATGCGCGGTTTGCGATACAACATTCCGCTCATATGAACGCTGCGACAACAAGCGATACCACACATGTTGTAGAGCTCTGGTGAAGCAAATGATTGTGTTACCTCCCATTTCCTTGCAAACTGCCCAACGTGTGCTTCTGCCTCTTCGTCAATCTTAAGGGCGCTGAGGTTGCGACTACGTGTGGCTTTATAGAGGGCAATATCGGATGCCGTGCGATGTTTCCAGTACTTGGCGAGGGCGCGTAGGTGTTGTATCCACTCTTTCCGATGAGCTTTGTCTGCGGCCTGAACATTGAGTCAATTAAGAGGACAAACATACATGGAAGGATACTAACCTGAAGGCGAATGATGAGGCCATTCTTCATAACTAATTCGAGAGTACGATCGATGTCCAGGTCCTTCGTAGCTCCGTCGTTGCGCATAGAGTCGTCGACCTCCTCGTCAAAGTCCACATCCGAGCCTTCTTCCAGGTCTTCATCAGCAGGACTGGCGCCCAACTGGGCTTTGCGGACTTTGACAACATCTGCCAAGCTGATGTAGCCGTCACAGTTGAGCAGGTTCTGCTCTTTGCGGGTAGCTTCATCTGCTGCATCTTCATCATGCAGACGCCTGGCTTCCGTCGTACCTGAGTGACCCTCCATCAGCCACTCGATCTGCCCATCCTGGAGGACATAAGGGCTCACAGCCCAGCTCTCTGGCACCGCGTCTTTGACCGCTTGCGCTGTCGGCACATTGGGATTTCCAGACGCAGGTAGCCTCGGAGGCGGAGGTGGGGTGACTTTTGTGGGTCGTGAAAAGACGAGATACTGATCGTGGCTGGCAAAGTAGAGCTGCTTGTGGTACATGAGACCTAGTCGCTTTGCCCGTCCTCGCTGCCCTGTCAGTCGGATGAGAAAACCTTCGACGGGAACCGGTTCAGTCAAGGTCTTGTGCTTCTTCCTTGTCACTGCAGTCGTAGGATAGTGTGTCTTGGGCCTCAGTTCCAGTTCGTGCGACTTTAGCATAGCTATCGTGCCGTACATCTTCCGCTCGTTCGCGCCATGTATCCACTCAAGTCGATCATAGCGCTTCCAGGCGAGACCTATGCGCTGGTCCTTGATCCACGATTCTAGCACGTCAGCCCACTCTGGTGCATCTTGCAGTTGATCTAAGCAGCGCTTGATCAAATCTTGAGCGACCGCCTGTTCCTCCTGCATAGTCCTCAGCAGAGCCTCTTCCGTGTTCTCTGCATCTTGAACTTTGTTTTGTGATGCCTCTAGCTTCTCGAATGGGTTGGCGATCCGTATGCTCAAGCTCATGTCCGGTATGCTGATCTGGAGCTCGGAAGCACGCTGCCAGCCAAGGACGTTTCGGAGAAAGGTATACCACTCTACTGCATTGGACGCAGTTCGGGCTTGCATGATGAAGATAAGTGTCTCGCGTGAACCTGGTGAGGATACGACCATTGACTTGTCCAACGATGAGTAGAGATTGACCTTGCAGGTCTTCCTCCCCAGCGGAACTTCGTATGCAGCTTTCTTGCCTGCTCCTGCATTCTCAATTTCCGGGATGACCTGGGAACGAGGTTAGTAGCTTGACGCACATGAAGTCGCGAGAGAAACTTACCCGGGTCTGGTAGAGCTGCAGCAGAAATTCTGCGTCATTGGTATGGCTGTGGCGACAAACGACCATGTACTCCCGCCATTTATCCTTGACGCGGGAGACGACCCTCTGGTTGACGTTTTCATCAAAGTCTTCGGGAACTTCTGCAGCGGCATCCACTCGCACAAGCATGCGTTCCATCTTGACGACAAGCCCATCTTTGATCTTCTGTCGTCTTATCTTGGTGCCAGCTCGCTGAACAGTCATTTGCGCCTTCTTCGCTTTGAGCTGAATCGTGGCGCGTCGGGAATCCTCCGGGATGTCAAACTTGACAAGATTCCGAAGGTTCGACTTCTTGCGCGTCAAATCTCCCGTGGCGGGGTCCGTGTCTTGGGGCAATTCCGCGGAAGAGGACATCATGCCTGATCTTCTCCTCACTCTTGCCATTATACCCTTCGCGGGCGGTTTCGAATCGACATCAGCCGAGGCCGGTGCCTTGTTCATGTCAGCCTTACGTAGCAAAGACGATGTGGAGTTTGCATCTACAGAGGCTGCTCCGGTAGCTGATGCAGGACTCCCAAGGCTCTCTACATTCGACAGTGGGCGTTTGCCTAGTGACGTTGATCCTGCCTGCCCTTGGCCTGAAGGAACTTGTAAGCCACTTGCCTGTGCTTGTTGTTGGTGTTGCTCCTGCAGCGGCCTTTCGTCTGATCCTTGTTGGTCTTCGTCATCATCTTCGTCTGCGGGTATCGAGGATGCGGTGATATATGTCTTGTCCGTACTCGATCGGCGGACTGTCCGTTCGTTGGTGGGAACGCGTTCGATATCATCGTCTTCCGGCTCCGACGGCGCGTCTACGAACTCGTCATTTTCGTCATCGTCCATGACATCGCTCTTGTGGTCTGAAGCGCGCGGCACTTGCAAGGCGGGTGGGGTCGCCGCAGTCGCATCCGCCGCGCCATTGGCTCCGCTGGCCTCGAGCTCTTGCGCTCCTTCCTCATCCTCTGCTTGAAGTTCCTCGGGCTGGGGGAAGCTGTGCTGGAAGAGGGCAGAGGAGCTGGGGCCTTCGAGGCCGCTCAGCCGTCGTTGGCGCGCCTCACGCGGGTCTGAGGAGAAGGTCGCGGTACGCGTCGAGTAGTTGATTCGCAGATGGTGCTTGTACCTGAACGTGCGATGTCAGTACATGTCGCATAGGCAGTTCCTACAGCGACATCTCTTACCAATCGGAGCGGTGCTTGGTCAGCCATGCCGTGGGGATAGGACCGATGAAGTAGCGTCTCGTCGTGAGATGCAGATGCTCGGGCGTGGCATGTTCCTACTCCTCTTAGCTTGCGACATGCGTGCGGTAGTCTGCAGCCATGCATACCAGTCGCTGGGCAGTGTACGAGTCGGGGGGCAGATTAGTAACGTCAGGCTGGTGCCATGAGCGGCGCTGCTGGTCGGGCATTGGACCTCTCCTATCTCGTTCTGGCCGCGGAGGTGCGCTCCTTCAAGTCACAGTCGGGTGGGAGTGAATACATAAACCACTAAACAACATACATTAAGTTAAGAAGCTAGTAAGAGGCGCGACTACTTTGCATAAGGAGAGGCAGCCACGAGCGCGTGGCGGGCGTGCGACTAGGAAAGCAGGCGCGGGCGAGGGCCGAATTGGCGACGGCATCCTAGCCCTCGTCATCGTTGAGGTGCCCAGCCCGAACCCCCTGTGCAGATCATTATCACAGATCTTCTCACAACGATAGACCAACAACAATATCCGCAGACACGCGACAATCATTTCAGCATTCTAGGTAGGCTTCAAATGAGCCGGCGGGGTACCAAGGAGTCAACTGTTCTCCACGTTTCCGACACGCCTTAGCGTCTTCTCCAAGGCAACCCACGATTCGACGACATCTCAGAAAAAGCAACCTCAGCCCTTCTGACTCGAGGCATTCCGCTCAATAGACGATCTCTACACACTTATCCGTTCACCGATTAACTACTAATTCTTATTAATCCACGTGTCTCCAGTCTTACCTACCAGGTTCCGGTCCCACAACACAGTTTTTGGTTCCGATTCATCCAAGCGAAGAGACCACCAACTCGCCAAAACGTGCAGTTTCAGATCCCAACCTACCCATTCCGGCAACTCTTTCGCAAAACTGTTGATTCCGGTCTCGGGTGATCTGCTAAGTGGCGTTGCGTACTACGAGGGTCTTCCTGGTTCACACGATCTTGACAGCTTGGTGGCACAGAAGTGTCGATTCGCGCAAAGCGAAAAAAAGGAATTACGTGCATCGCCAACTTTAATACTACATGCATCCTCTCACAGTTCCATGATCTCGTCACGTGGCAGAGCTCGCCATGCTATCTCAGCCGCGCCCCTCGCTGCTACGTACTCAGGGTCAGAATACAGCATCTTGGCCCGCGTTCCAAATAAGCTGAATGCATCTGCGATTGCCACTCGAATCTCTTCACGACCGACGCTATCTCGGCTTCCCGTCATTATGACAGTGATTTGTTCGGGAAAGACCCAGGGCCTCTTCGTGTAACCAATGTACACTTTACGCAGATACTCTAGAACGAAATCGCGTACTTGCTCTTCCGTTGCCGAGCTTCTGCTGCCAAGATCGAAACTTATTCTAATATCATCTTCGTAGTTCGCGATATCGTGGGCGCGATCCAGCGGTCGACCATCAAGTAAGATAGCATCCTCAGTATATTCCACGATGACTGTGTGGCACCCAGCAAATCCGGATGATGTTTGACATTCGGAACCGCTCTCAGAGAGGCCCATCCCATGGCCGGCATACGCAGCGATGAGCTCGTGTAATTGTAACCCGGAATCGGTCTTCAGCATACGCAAACCTGCGTACTCCGCGGCATCCTTGATGTCTTCCTGGTACAAAGCAGGCAAAGCAGGGAAGCTCTGTATCGCCGATACGGGAGATCCAAGTTTACTTTCCGCCATCCTTGCCGTTGCTGTTAGCATCTTAGCTAATACTGCTGCGTCGGCAGAGGCGGCCAGACCGAGCTTCTTTCGTGCACTACGCCAGGCTCTTCGTGGTGCGTCATTCCACAAGTCTTCCATGCTGCCGTAGGGTTCGCTGTAATTTACATGGTCAGTAATGGTATGCATAAGTACAATGATCCCGAAACCCACGTTAGATGCACCGAAGAGAGCAAAGAGAGGCGTTGCATCATCTTCACATACGCCTTCGATGCCTCCACTCGGCCCAGGTTTTCGAAAGTTCCGTCCGGCCATCGAACTGCTGCTGTTGCATGATTTGCAGTGAGCGAAATACCAACTACTGGCAACTTCGATGTGGGCTTTTCCCGGAGCTCAACTGCGACGGCCTGAGCGTATGAGATGGCAAGGCGGATTACTACGACACCCACGAGGACAGACAGTGTTTTGAACATATTGCTTGAGTAGTCAAAGACACGATACTCAGGTGGGTGAATAAGTAAGTGCATCGTGTTCGCAGGCTGGAGATGGTGAGAAGTCGCGACGTCAAGCGGCACAGTAATGGCTGCTGCCTACACCCAGACGCGGGGTACGTCTGTTCTACTTCACACCCTGCTGACTTTACTTGAAGCCTCCATTCGCACTCTGAACCTGGCATTAAAGTATTTGTCCATAAAATTCCAGTATAACATCGATCTCGCTATCATTATGCGACTACGTCATCCTCATCCCACCCTCATCTGCCGACGAAAGCATCGCCCTTACCAATCTCTCGGACGATGTGCTCCACTACGATCATCTCCCCTCCCACCACGCTGCGTCCCATTCCTTTGATCGTTCTGCCTTGGCGACTCATACTCCCTTCTTCCATACACTGAGCGAGGCGCATATGCGGAAGAAGGGGATGGTGTACCCCACGCTCGGTCGAGGTACATGGGCTCAGGCGTTCCATGAGGCTGTCTGGTAAATGTCCCCGTTGATGGTGAAGTTGGTGCGCGGTAACCAGGTGGCCCTCCATTGGGTGGCGGCGCAGTAGGTGCTCTCCTCGGTGCCGGAGCAAGAGTACGTAGTGCTTCGGCCGTGAGGCTCGTTCGGGGAACGCGACTAGGCTTCTCTGCACTGTCATTCGTCTCCATGATCGGTTCAAACTTCTCTTCCATCACATGTGGTTGTTGCGCTTCCACATCCCGCACCTGTTCTTCTGGTTCCGCGTTCTCAGCTACCCTCGCAGCCCACTTGGCTTCCAACATCTTCTTCCCCTTAGCGGTTACCCGCTCAGTCATCCGGTTCTCAGCTTTCTCGATACCCAGTTTGAGCGCTTCGCCCATAACACTGTGGAGGGTAAGAAATGGGAGCGTGAGGACGTGGCGAAGCTGGAGTTGGTAGTCAAGCTTGACTTCGTGGTTGTCTAGGTTCATGTGCAGTTGCGACCTCTTCTGCGCTTCATCTCCTGTTCCTGTCGACGTAGGTCTGGCTGGCTCGTAATACACCTTGCGCTCCTCAAACCTCCCCTTCTCTTTCCACTCTTTAAGTGCATTGCAATCCAGATTCTGAGGCCCATACCGCTTGAGCGGGATGCGAAGCGCGCGGATCAAAGCTTGGGTATGCAGAACGTTCAACTCCAACTTTGGCGTAAAAGAGTCCCGGACATGGAGATACCAGCTCAGACACTCTGTCAGGCCACGCGCATCAAGCCCAGACGGTAGATGGTTCAGGCCAGCGAGGAGATCACTGAATGTCGGCAACACATAGCCGCTACGTCTGTCCGCGATGTATCTGCCTGGCTCCAGGTGGTCGGTATGTAAGTTTGCATCATGCTTCCCGTTGATAGTGTCCGTCTTGAAACCCTCGATGATCTTCTTGACTGAGTCGCGCTGGAACTGATTCATGACTGCCGCCGTGATGTCCGTTGTTGGGGGGCCACGGAAGAACGCCTGTGCATTGTCAGCTATAAACTATCTCAGGGCAATTAGACAGACGAAGACGTACTTGCATACCAACGATGTCCGCACCGCGATAGTCGTTGTTCGCTAGTCGGACCATCATGCTTTTCCACCGGACGTGATGGGGGTAGTAGGCCATGACTTCTTTGGCGGATAGAGGTACTCCAGGGGGGAGCAGAGCGTCTACGGGGACTGCGTCGTTGTACCATGTATAATGCACTCCGAGGTCCTTCCCTACGAATCCCGGCTTTTGTAGAACGCCGCGGACGGCCCGCATATTGAAGTCTTTTGTTTCGTCTACCCATGGACGCTGGAAGGGAGGATATGTGTGTACGGATTCGCCCGAATGCGACATGTGTGGTGTGTAGAGCGAGGCTGCGGTGCGAGCTGTGGCAGGGGTGTGAGGATCGAAGGGCATGCTGAAGTTAGCAGGTGTGTCTGGTAATTGTTGGAGATGCATAGGGCCTGGTGTTGATACAGCCGGAAGCGCATCCTCTATAATGAGCCTGCCTGAGAAGCGCAACCTGACGGTCAAGCTATAGGTCTCGTAGTCTGGCTCTTCGCCCTCTACATCATCAGGGCTGATTCGCTGGCGTTTTGCTACTGACATCCAGACGTTCTTCCTCGCAGCCTTTGACTTCCTCTTGAATGCTCGGACCTTTACGGTGGGTTTCGGGATATCCGATAGGGCTCTCTTCCTTGCGCTTTTTGGAGCAGCCGATACCGAGGCGCTTACATCGACCCCTTTGGTGTCGCTATCGCTTGGGCCACTGCCGCTTCGACTTCTGCCCTTCTCTGGAGCGGCAACCTGATAGTCGTAGTCCATGTCATCCCACGCTGAACGGTCGTTGGACGCGTTTTCGTTGTCATCATGTTGGAAAACTCCGGTTGCGTAACGCCAGTCGCGGGTTTTGGGGACCCAAGTAGAGTGCTTCTGCGGACGGGATTGGCGCGCGAGGATATCTTCTTCCTTCATGGTGGTGAGAGCGAAGTAAGTCGCGTTCTTTTCCTTTGCTATCGCAGTATCGTGACGCTAAATCGACGTCCGTGGAGCGAGGCCAAAGTTGGGTGAGTCGGGAAGAAAGGTGATGACACTCGCGTCGTGAATAGCATATGACGCAGTGGTAGTCACGGACCATGCTCATGTATTAGGCAGTTTGGTAAGTGAAGGCGGAAAAGACACGTGAATGTCGCCCAGTGGCCGCCTACGTCCCCTTGGAAATATACTGGCCATCGCCATAGAGTGAAAGAAAGCCATAGCGATGCGTAGTCAGTCTCTGGCATCTGTCAGAACTGAGATCCTAATACGCATGTCCGAGGACGACAATAAATGTTATTGATGGCGCTTTGTAGAGCGACCACTGACCCTACCTCGAACTCCGACAAGATCTTCGCCAAGACTTGAGAGAATGAAAAGAGGTCTGTTTCTGCTTCTTGAGATTCTTGAACGAGAAAGAAATACGTGGGCACAGGAAACGGCGAGATGTGAACAGATGACCGAACAGACCAAGGACGAGAGGTGGCCAGGCAGACTTGAGATGTCAGTCATCGACGGATATTGTCACTGTACAAATCAGGCCAGGCAATCTCGTTAATTGGACTATTATCATCGCAGGTCACTGCAATAGCATACTCCTGGGCTCGCACCTCCGGAGTCCTCCAAGGCTTTTCATGTGAGCTTTGCTTGCCGAGACATCAGTCCGGGCTGGGCGATGAAACTTGATGACACCAATCGCAAAGGTATCGGAATCCTGTCAAAGGATAAATGCGAGGGCAGGTATGATTAATGAACAATGTGAGCTGATGTTGTCTTCGATGAAGCGGACCCGCGCGAAAGCAAGCGCCTCCGCAACACGGGCCAATCAAAGCACCCCTACGTCATTATCCTGCAATATCCGAGGTCCATCATCAGCACCATAACACCGCGTCCAGCAGCGCGTTGCTACCATCAGACTATCAAACCTCTCTACCAAAAGTCATCATGAGCACAAAATCCATCCCAACGCTAACCCTCGATGGCGCGCGCGTCGCCCTCGCCGCCGCCGAGCAGCGCTCCAAGGAAATCAACGTACCAATGAACATCGCCATCATGGACAACGCATGCCATCTCCTAGCATTCGCCCGCATGGAAGGCGCAAAACTCACATCCATCAACATCGCCATCGACAAGGCTTTCACAGCTGCAGGTCATCGCGCGCCTACGTCTGTTTACAAAGACAATGTGTATCCTGGTGGGCCGGCGTATGGCATCAATCACAGCAATGGAGGCAGGTTTATGACGATTGCGGGTGGTGTGCCGATTGTGAAGGATGGGGTTGTTGTTGGGGCGGTGGGGTGTAGTACGGGGTTGCCGAGTCAGGATGAGGATGTTGCGAAGAGGGGGGTTGAGGCTGTGCAGAAGAGTTTTGGGGTTAAGGCGAAGCTATGAGTCTGTGTGGAAAAGAATATGGAACGGAGAGAGATGTTCATGGTCTCGACCGAAATTGCATTGTAATTCGGCAAACTACGAGTCCCATCTTCTACTAATTCCCACATGTACGATCGCAATACTTCCCTACCAGCGACAGATTTGAAGGCGCAGGCTCGCCACACCGAACCCGTTTACCTCCACTTGTCTAGGTCGGTTTCTGACACTGCGAATAGTACTCGTCGACCTTGAAGCAGACCAGGCCCTGATTACAAGTCGTCGAGCCCTGCCACGTCTGCCCACCGCACTGGTCATAGAGCTGTACTGGGCCCGTAGCCACTGGTGGCGCGGGTCTGGTCGTGGTTGTACGCCTGGTGCGAGTGAAGGGCGGTGCTGGTTGAGCAGGCGGAGTGGATGTAGGTCTAGCAGTTGTCTGAGTTCGCGTGCTGGTGGATCTCTGAGATGAGACCGGTGGCTGACATTGCGAGTAATCTACAATAGGTCAGTATGAGATTCGGTGTGGAATGCAAGACATGATAGAAGCAGTGCGACTCACATTCATCGACTCTCACGCACACCGAATCCTTGCATGTCCTGGGACCAGTCCAACCATTCCCGCCGCATTGGTCGAACGGTAGACCGATAGTTGGTGCGGCACTAGCAGAGGCTGTAGTCGTTGGGGTTGTTCTGGTGTTAGCTGGGTCCGCGAGGCAATAGTACGAATTTTCGTCGACATAGGTACAGACGGTGCCTCCTACGCATCGGGTGGGACCTTTGTAAGACTTCCCACCACACTGACCACCCGGCTGTACAGTACCAGAAGATATTGGAGCAGATGTTGTAGGCGTCGGCGAAGGAGTATTCTGCCCTGGGATTGGGTCATCATTGCGGCGGCAGCCAGACACGCCGGACAAAGCCTCAGGGCACTTGACCTTCTCCCAGTTGACAGACGGGTTGTCAGCTGCCCGAAACCAATCGAAACGCCAGTAGCAGCCAGCTTGCAGCACAGAAGGGAGGGCGTCGCAGTCGTCGCGATGCGCTACGCCACCATAGTCTTGACCCCAGACATCCGCGCCGCCATATTGCTTGGTGCATCCTTGGGTAGAACCTTCGCCACCACCAGGGATGGCAATGTTGAATTGATCTTCTCCTAGATCAGACCCAGTGTTCGTGACCTGGACGATCATCTTCTTTCCGTTGACTGGGCCGGAAGTAAACGTCAGGCTAGAGTTTGTCAGTCACTGCTCGGGCATCGAATTGAAGGAACATACGAGTAGCAAGAGCAACACCACGCAGATTCGTTCGAAGCTGCAAGATTCACTGCGGCGAAGCCATAAGCCAAGTCGTTACTCGCAGCCCACGGGCTGAGGTCCGAGCAGGCATATGAGCCACCGCCGCTTTCGCAGCCGTCGCGCCTGTTGTAGTTGTCGAGGAGATTATCGCTTGCGTCGCACGTCAGGACTGGCTTATCGACAAGAGCTTTGCCGGGCCAAGAGCAGGAGTTCTTGCAGCAGGACCATTGACGAGTGGTTGACCCGGTGCCTTGGACGGCACTTCCAGCGCTGTAGGCAAGGGCGAAGAAGCTCGACGTGACAGCGGAGAGAAGGAAGATCCGCATCTTGGAATTTGAGGTATGATACTGCAAGAGAAGAAGACTGTATGAGCAAGCCGAGATGACCTGATCAAGATGAGGTTGTAATCGACGAGACGTGGAGCTTTTATATACCCTCATTGGATTATGCTTCCTGCTCTGGCTATTCTACAGGTTCGTACGGCATAACACCTGCCAGGTCCCTGCTTCGGGTATCTGCACGATCTGGCAGGAGAACTTATCAGATCATTGCTATTCCCAGGTACTTGATTGCGCACACGGGAAGATTGTTGGTGTTCATCTACTGACGATGTTCTTCCGCTGTCTGTTGAGAAGCGCTGAAGCGCTACTATTCATAGAAGCTACCGGTGCGGTTTGCTAAAACAGACGGCTATATGATCCGGTGACTGTCGGCAGATACATACACGCCACTTCACGACCTTCGAGCCACTCTGTTCGTTGTAAGTTGTTTTCGTGCATGCTCAAGACAGACCTGTGGTGTAGTCGCTCCTCGTCCCCTTGTCATCCGCCTGGAAGAACGCTGTTGATGATCATCCTAACCCCATCCGTGCGGACACGATTGATTACTCTCGTTTCTGGACCGCGAGAGCACGGGCTATCTTCCGTACAGGGCAGCTCTTCTTCCGACACCCATAGACCCGGTAAGCCACGAGCCAGACTTCGACTTCGATCTTGATTGAACGCTGTCTGTCATTGGCCCCAAGTGTGGTACCAGATTGAATACCGAGAGACTTGTTGAGGCTTCTGTTTTTTGACTGTAGCTGTAGGAATCGCGAATGTTGCCTTCTTCAGAGGTCTGTGGCGCTTGAAATACGGCACAGATGTGGGTACATAGTGCCGCGAGAGTAGATCACTATGGCGCACTCGTCCAGGGGCCTGGGGCAAAATCCAGGTTTACTATACTGCCATGGGTCCAGCGAACCATGTCTGTGAGAAAAAGCACCTTCCTAAGCACGGGCACGAACAGCGAGATCTCCTTGCGCGTCGATCTGCCTACGACCGATCGACTGGTAGTCTGGTCAAGGTGTCCTGGTAAGATCCGAGCTCGCTTTCACGTGCGACTGCAGGCGGCTCTATATAACCGGCGATTCATCTATCTGGTCAGATGATCAAAAACGAATACACGTCAGTCACCGAGCGAGGGCAACTATTACGATTCGGCCCGTGAAGAAGTTGCAGATTATCGGAACGTTTGAGAGAAACAGAGGCGTCGTGACTTGAGCCAAGGTTGGCTCACGAGGTGTCGACAGGCATGTGTCTTGTAAGGGCAGGCGTCCAAGGCCCCTAAGCGGGGGTAACGCCGTTGTGCTGCCGGCGCTAGGGTCGTAGCGGACCGCAAGAAGGCCCAACCTTAGTGTCACTCCTGACATGCACAATGCGCTTCCTATACCTTCAAGAATTCAGATAAGAAAATCCTACACGAACAACCGGTGAAGCCATGGATTTGGCATCAATCAATCGGCTGATGCTGGCACATCACTGATCCTTTCGGCGCTACCCGCGCTTCGAATTCTCCGACTTCAGGCATTCGTGGCAGGTTGTGGGGAACGTCGATCGCCTACGACACATGCACATTAGCCCACGTCCTGAAAGAATTTATCGCCTTACGTCTCAGGTATCAATAGCCAATCACGTCCGCTCGCATCATCGCCCATTGGCTAAGCGACGGCGTATATACCGCTTTATCTACCTCCGAAACAGGGTGGACTGGTCGAGCAAAATGCGGTCGGACCGTCTCGTAGGGACTATCATACACAGCTGTGAATCAGGGTCTGTCATAATATGGCAACAGCCGCGTCACGTTGCAGACTAGCTGTCCCTCCATCTTTTCCCCGTTGCAAACGTTGACTGACAGCTCGGCACAAACACCTGCATTTAACACTTTGGACCCCTGGAACCAGAGGAATTTTGGCTACTGAACTTGCGACAAATCTCGCTGGGAAATCGGAACAACATGGCTGGCATAGCTTGCGTATGGGCAAACATCCCAGAGGGACGCGAAGAGTGGTACGAGAACGAACACCTACCTTCACTGAATCCACACAATGCAAAGCATGCTTTACATTGCGAAGTAACGGCGAGCGGTATGGAGAATGAGCCGGTGGGAAGATTGGACGCGCCATGGCCTTACATGACCGTATGGGAAATAAAGAGTGTTGACCAAGCCAACAAAGACATGTACGACGCACAATACCATCCACCAAATGCCGATTTGCAGGCTTCCCTCAAAGGCCTACTTCTTGATCTTCGGTCCTATCGGGAAATCAAGAGTTGGAAACAAGACGACTGGTCCGGTGACGGTGGTGGTAAGATCACGGGTGCGGATAAAGCCGGCGATGACGGACTAATGTCGATAGACATCGAATACGTCGCAAGCGTGGCGGCAATGGAATGGAGCGTACCAGCGGACAAGGAAGAGGAGGTCATGAAATACTACAGAGAAGTCGTCGGCCCAACAATATCTAGTTCACCAGACGTACTGCGGTTTCGCCTCTTCGAGGTCGACAACGCAACAACGATGCAGGGCGGAAAGTTCGAGACCAAAGACAAGAAAGAGCTACACAGATACTTTACGCTCGTCGAGCTAGAGTCTGAGCAGTGGCCATGGGACGTGGTCGTCGATCTCGCGGAGGATAAGGAATGGAAGGACTACTTCGAGAGTCAGCAAGTAGTGGTACGTTGACGATCAAGCCCCGTGGAACTTTGAGTTACTGACGACATTCAGAAATGGCAACTTAGTCACTACTTGATGAAGAGGGCGTATGGCGTACCGGAAAGCAAGGCCTCTGCATCGAGCTAAAGGCTGGAAACGCTAGATCTGCCAACACATTGGTTAAGGGATAGTATCTTCGACTCGAGCGAAGCTTCTTCTCACGCAATACATCACTTGAACCATGAAATCACAACATCGACAAACCGAGACGGTGCATTCAACAAGCTAACATATGCGCACCCGCATTTGCGTTTGACACCAGAGACGCACTATGTACAGCCTATCTGCATCGCTCGCCTGTTGATATTCGATTTCGCCCAGCCTCTGCACCACATGTATCGGATCTTCCTTCTTTACCGAACCGATATTGCGAATGGATTTATATACCCCAACCGACGAGTACCCGACAAGCCCGCATGCGCCTACATTCAGTCAGCCAACCAGTCGTCATCTATAATAAAGGGCCACTTACCAGCAGCAGGCTTCAAGGCCGCATTCATAACGCCAGTCGCACATCCAGCAGCAAAACCCAGGACACCATTCTTCTCCGCACCATCGATGGGTTTGATTATAAGATCCCTTATGCCATCACTGAGTCCGTAACCAAAGCTCTTGAAGCTGACCAGCAGCCCACTTCTCAACCCAGTCACATTCTCATACTGCCGCACCTCCTCACCGTACGCTTTCGGAAGGTTATGGAAACCTCGAGTAATACCATGCATGACAATCGCCGGACTCTTCAGACTGGTGGTGATGATGCGTCCGAATCCTTTTGCGGTACCGAGGGCTACTTGGCGTGCCACATGAGGCGAGTCTTTGGTGTCGAGAGGAGGTAATGGGTTAGCGGTTCCGTCCCGCTTCTCTTTGCGTCTGATCTCGCGCTGCAGTAGCATTGGTGTTGTTTGTTTGCCCAGCTCCACCGGACCTGCTACGAGACCCAGCATGATTCCTCTTACTACGTCGTAGGTAGTGAGAAATGCAGCGGATACCGGGTCGGTGGGGTCGTGCTTCATGTCTGAGTATTGAGATATGCTGTAGTGGGTGTCAGTGGTAGTCGACGTTTGTTGCATGAAGAGACTCCCTACAGATGCAAGTCTTTGGGTTGAAGAAGACCCTCTTTAGTAAGCACCGCAGCCGCAAGCGGCGATAGGGCCAGGCTCTTCCGCTTCACAAGCCATACTGCTGGTCTATCGTGAAGGATGCTACATGCTCGTATGCTAGCAAGGCTCGCCGTTGCATCGGCTTCTGTGAACTCATGTGTCAAGGCTGGAGGGTTTGACGAACATGTATGCGATGGGTTTTCTTGGACGCTAGCATCCTGTCGTATGTCGTACTCGTGCTCTTCTTGAAGACTCCGCGGTTCTGGGCTTGGAAGTGGATCGTATGCCGGCGACTGGTCTTGACTGCGTGGCTTTTCGTTTTGCGTCGACTCCGCATCTACCGAGATTTCTCCGCCCGCGACCTGTTGAGTGTACTCTGGGAGGTCCATGGTGTAGAGGTCAGCATTCTCCGCGGTGGGTTCAAAGTGCACCAGCGAGGAGGTGTCGGTGTCTGCGTCGGGATTATTAGTACTCTCGTATGAGTATAAAATGCTCGGAGTACCTACTAGCAACACCCCGATCTTCCTCGGAAAAGATCGTGGTTACGGCAGTCATCTTCTGGAGCGTAGGTCTGGAATGGTCGAATTGCAGATTGAGCAGCATGAACTGCAAGCAGTATTACTTATGGGTCAACTTTGCCATCTTCAAGAGAAACTTCTCTATAAGGCCCTACTTCGTAGCCACGCGTGCGGAAGTCTTGGTTTTCCGAAACGGGAAACGCTAGGCCCGAAGTGGTAAACTTTGAGAAGGGCGCAGCAGGCGGCCTGACATGCAACCAAAACCGCCTCGGCGGCCTATCATCAAGGCCGTGAGAACACTAGCGAAGTTGTGCACTTGGTGTTATGCTTCTTGTGAGGGTGTGCATTCCGGGGCTCGCAAGCTCTACCAGATTGCGTAATGCCATGGGTATGTTTTAGATGTCGTAGAAACTAAGTCAATATGAAGAATATGGTGAAGAGCTTCTAGTCGTCTCAGTATCCTCTATCCAGTTTTCTGCTCGATCAAAGCATAAATGACATGCTTGTGAGGGAATTTGGGCAGATACACGCGTTGCATGTGCTCCCAAGGCTTTTGAGAATGCGTGAACATTTCGTAATCCATAACAGTATAACTAGCTAGTAATCGCGTCGCGTTTGTGTTTACAGTATCAAAGGTCGTGTGTACAATCAAAAGCAGACGTTCAGAGGGTGCAGCTCACATCGGCTACGAACGCGTCAAGATGATGACGTAATGAAGTTTACGCGTTCGGCATCGACGGAAGTTGCACCGAATACGCGACTGTCTCCTGCCTCCTGCCTCCTGCATTTTCACGACGCGATCTCCTGCTATCGTCCCATCATCGCGAAAAGCACCAGCCACCTTCAAGGCATAACAAAGCGACAGAATGGGTCCTGTGGGCAACGATTTATCCTCATCCGACCGCGACGGGAACCGCGAGCCATTAACCAAAGCGACCCTGTCGCAACGAGACCTGATGGACGCGACGTGACTGTCGCCAGATCCTGCATCCGGGAACCATTCCAGTCACCTTTCTGTGACTCTGAGGTTACTACTGAGCCACTGGATGATGTGCCATTGGCTACTGAGCTGCTTAATACTGAGCCGTTGGATACTGGGCCGCTGGATACTGGGCCGCTGGATTTTGATCCGGGAGATGATTTGGGTAATATTTGGACATATATCGATGCCATTCATCGTAAGAGCTCCCAGGGCTCGACTGCGTATCGTCTCCATCGTCTGGCTGATCTCCATTCCCAGGATGCTGTCTACCATCCGAAGGATCGCTGTCTCTGTAACCGCTCCTTCCATGCCGGTTTCGGTCGTCCCGGTCATCTCGTTGTCGCTCTCTGTCGTCTCCCAACATGCGATATCTTGATGCGGTATCAATAATTTGCACTTGGTCATGATGTCAGCCACTCACTGAATCGGTATGTAATGACTTGTCGTTGTTGCGTAATCGTCGTGGCGGTATGCAAAATGCACAGCTTTCCGCGCACTGTTGATAAGCATCTCGGCTTCTTTTGTTGAAGTTGGCTCCCATATGGTCTTCAGAATAATGCCGTCCGCTCCGTACATAAGCTTATAATAGCTGTTGTATTGAGGAGACAACCTCCATTCTGAACATGTCATCGAGTTCATGTTGGCTTCGGTTTCTTTCGGCGGACCCGGGTTCTGCCACAGTGTTTCAAGGATTGTGCCGTCGCTCGCACGCTCGTAATGGTACCAGCGGTAATATGAGCCTGAAAAAGCCCAAGTGGAGTTTGGCCATGGAGCGACCCCGCATTCCTCAGGCTGGCTTAATTCGACCCATATCCGGAGACCATAAGTGCCGTACTTGTAAAACTTCTTGTGTTGCTCGGACCATATCCAGGGTATGTGTGTCTCCATCATACGGACCTATGTCGTAGCGGAGCCTGACTCGGGGCGCGCCTCGTTATATCGCCTGGCGGGCATACGTCTCACGTGGCGGGTGGCAATCGCGCTTGCAAGCAACCCAAGGCTGAATATTCCTAGGTCGCGCTCTGTCTGTCGTAAGATCTCACAGAGATGGATTGCATCTGCTTGTCGCGACCTTGTGAATGGTCGGCCTATCAACTCCACAAAACCGTTCATACACCTCAAGAATTTGTCGGGTAAACCTGTACTGCTGCACACTCAGAGCGCATGCGCTATGCGATTCCGTCGATGCTGGCATCAGAGCGCTGTCCTGTTTTGCCGATACGAGACGCCGCTTCCCATTCGCAGGAAAACGCCTCTTCATGCATGGCTGCACCAACCCAAGCGATTAGCGTGGCCTGTCAGCGATGCACATGAGCAGACTCTAAAGCATTCAGCCTCACTGCTACCTAAAAGATCATCGCTCTTTCGTTTTATTGTAGGACATGGGCTACGAGTACGTGTCAAGAGCATTCAGACGTACACTCAAAGACGTCTCTTAGAGTTCACGACAGCCTCTCAAATACCCACAAGACAATGCTACCCGAATGAAGCGAATACTCCACGATCTATCCAACGCTCATAATAATCTCAGCGCCTACCGTACCTACTTCACACTGGCAAGCACACTGGCCCTGAATAACCGTGTCATTGCTCGCAGTCCTGCACTCTAAAGAGAAGAGGTCTTCGTTCGCTCCGCTGCTCAGATATTGATGAGTCTGCAGCCTGGAGCACTGCCAGTCACGATTACAAGCCTCGTATCGAAAGCTCACTCATGTCACTTCTGAGCACACCGCAGACGGGACGATGGAGAGATCACAGCGAGGGACATCGTAAGAATACGCTCTAACTCAGTGATCACATATTGATAATCTGCTAGGTTTGCAGACGTTGCAACGCGATTCCTGGCGGGAAGCGCAGTGGTTCAAAGTCGGCATTGCCATCAGCCTTACTCTTGCGTCACCCTACTTACTGCGGATTGTTCTCAGTACAATTTCGTTCCTTAAGAGTTACCTGTTTCCCGCGACGTCAAGTGATCGCGACGACGAATCTGCCCGCCATCTTGTTCCAACAGAACCCCTGAGCACCACAAAGGGTAAAAGAGAAGGACTGAAGTATTGGATATCTAGTCTTCTCGCCCAAGACCCGTGTTGGGAATCTCGTTATCGATTCTTCGGCTCCTTTCTTCTTGCGTCGTTCTTACTGGTGCTGTATCAATCCATCGTGGGGATAGTTCTGACCGACAATGTCGCAAGAAGCAGATCTGCCCTACTGAGGTCAGACAAATGTGGCCTCTATGAGTACGACAACGAGAAAGCTGGCGAAGAGGAAGCTGTGAAAGCAGACATGCTCATGGTGGGCAGAGAAAGACGCGCAGCGGCCTATGCGCAGGAGTGCTATAGCTCCGGTACTAACGTCAAAGCCACAAATTGCGACTTCTTCTACAACTCAACTATCGGGTATGGAGTGCAAGAGGACAAATGTCCCTTCGATAGGACCGACATATGCGTTGATGGTTACCAGCCTGGCTCAGCCATCACCTTTGATACC